AACAATTTTTAAAAAACAAAAATAAATCACAAGAGAACTAATAACCCGAATTCCTTCTTTAAAAAGGTTACAGGCTTGAGACTTGGTAAATAGCAGAGTAAGAAAGTACACCTGTGATGACAGCACCCTTCCTCCTAATCGGGGACCAGCTGGGCAGGCTGCCCAGCCCTCCCCACCTGCTGCCTCAGGCCCTCATGTGACAAAGTTCCTGCCTGGCTGGGAGGGCATGGAGGTTCCACATGCCAGGATGACATCAAAAAGAGGCTAGTTTCTTTAAAAAAAAAAAAAATGTTTTTATTGATTTCAGAGAGGGAGAAATAGAAACATCAGTGATGAGAGAGAATCACCAATTGGCTGCCCCCTGCACAGGCCCATCCCCCCCACCCCCCCACCCCGAGGGAATCAAGTCCACGTGCCCTTGACTGGAAATCAAACTGTGACCTGGTTCATGGGTGACTCAACCACTGAGCAACACTGGCCAGGGTCTTTCCTTTTTTTTCTTCTTCTTTTTTTAATATGTTTTTAGAGAGAGAGGGAGAGAGATAGAAACATGGATTAGCTGCCTCCGTACACCTCCTGCGGGGGATTGAGCTCACAACCTAAGCACGTGCCCGACAGGGAATCAAACCAGAGACCTCTTGGTGCATGGGTCGATGCTCAACCACGAGCGACACTGGCTGGGAGAGGCTAGTTTCTTGGGAGACCTGTGGGAGAGGCCCAGGCCCGCTCTTCCTAGGTGGGTCCTGTCACCTGCAGAGTGGAGGATGATGCCTTCAGGGGTGAGTGCACCCCTTCCCCATTCTTCCTCTGTGGGAGATTTGGGGGATGTGTTGCAGAGAACACGAAGCCCACACTCCCAATCAGCTCAGGCTTGGAGGCCTCAGTCGCTGTGCTTAGAAACTAGACCAGTGGGTGACTTGCCACCCTAACATGCTGGAGACACTGGTGTGCCATGTGGCGGCTCTTCTTCAGTAACCAGATGCTCAGAAAGCCCTATCACTCCCTCCCTGAGTAGGGGAAGAGGTATGGAGAGAACAGTGCAGGCAAGGTTGTCCCGTGTCCTTGGACTGACCTAGGGCCAGGGCAACTCATCTCCCCCTCATGTTCCAGCCTGGCTTCCTGGCTCTCCTGTCTCATATTTTTATAGTTGCCAAATCCTCTTGGAAGAGAATGAGATATTAAAAAAAAATCAGCCCACTGGCATGGCTCAGTGGTTGAGCATCGATCTATAGAAGGTTATGGTTTGATTCCTAGTTAAGGCACATGCTTGGGTTGCAGGCTTGATCCCCAGTGGAGGAAGAGTAGGAGGAAGACGATCAATGATTCTCTCCCATCACTAATGTTTCTATCTTTCTTTCCTTCTCTATTTCTCTCTGGGGGAAAAAAAAAAAAAAATCAGTCACCAAAGCTGAGTGCTGTGAACACAAGAGTTTCTTGCTGTGAGGGCTCCACAGTGGGAGCTTGGCAGTCAGTGCTAGAAATACTGAACCTGCTGAGCAAGTGGGGACAGGGCCCAAGATGGCATCCACTCTTGGCTGTGAGCTATGCTTTTGCTGAGGTAGGTGGCTGGCAACTAGGATGAGTTTCTTACCCATTTTACAAAGGGGGCCTGGTAGGGCCAACTGTCACTGTTTCCCTACATCCTTCTGTGACAATGAGTGGGGTGAGGAGGATGGTCTGTGCATGAAGGATAGGTGAGGGCCCACCTTCTAAGTGGACATACAGGAGGCATGTACTGCCCTAAAGCAGACACACATGCACTGGGGCCTGCACCCCCCACATGGGCCTGCACACAGCTGAAACTACGGCCACTTCTGGCAGGAGGTGACCCTGGCGGGGAGTGTGAGCATGTGTAAGCATGATTGTGAGTATAAAGTATAGCTGAGAGTGAGTACAAGCATGACTGTGCAAGTGTGCGCATTTGTAAGCATGGCATAAACATGACTGCGAGTGTGTGTATGCATGATTGTGTGAGCATGTGCAAGCATGCCTATGAGTGTGAGTGTAGGAGCATGTGTGAGTGAGGGGGAGATGGCCGATTAAAAGCAGATAATCGGCTCTCAGACTGAGTGGACTCAGAGTCTCTGTGTCTGCCTCTCACACACACAGCTGTTTGTAATCACTGTGTTTTGTCACAGCCACACCTTTCCTAAAGTGTAACAACATAACCCAGTTGCTAAATTTCCAATGAAAGCCTTTTCTCCCAACACTGCAGCTCCACCTTATCCTCTGTGAATTCCTTCATTGATCTAGGAGTTGGGTTGAATGAAATGATGGCATTGATCCTTGATATGCCACATGATTAATTAGAAAATTGGTCAAAACCAAACTCTGCCTTGGGGTGACATGAGAAATGATGGGCTCTCACTGCTCATGTTAGCCCCCCACTTGCTGGACTCCCTGAACCTCCATTTACACTGCTCCTGCAAAACGTTTGAGTTTTCAAGGTCAGTCGTCACCAATAGTTGCAAAAAACCCCAAAACTGTTCAATGAAATGGCTCTTGGGAGCAACGTGGACCTCGGCACAGTGCGGTTCTGCTATTGTAGGCTCCGTTCCTGCCTCTCTCCCCTGGAGCCACACCACCAGGTGGCTATGTTGGCCACAGCTGGCTGCCCGTTGTGTGCACCAAGTTGTCCAACACACCATAGATCAATCCACTTCAAAGGCTGCAGAGCAGAGAAGTGGGGCTCCGTCCAACTCTCTTGCATTAAAAATATTTTTAAGAGACCTTGATAAACCAGTGTTTCCTGCTTTTTGATGTGCGTAAGTAAAGGAACATTTTCTTGTCAGAAGAGTGAAGCAGGAAGCAGGGACAGGCCTTAGTTGAAAGCTCAGTTCTCTATTGTTATTTTAAAGTAACTGGAAGAATCAAAAAGGTTTGGGATGGTTTAAATACATAAGTCAGTTGCCTTTTAACTTTAGCTGGAAAGGGATATTGTTTTATATGAAGAAAGGCTAGGTGAAATTCTATGAGTACTTTAAAAAGCACACTGGCATTTTATTTGGGAATATTCAAGCGTATCGCTAACCAGCTGACTAGACATGGGGTGCCACCAGGACCTTTGATCTGCTTGTGACCTGGCTTAAAATGAACACTGTCCACAACAAGCAAGGTGGCCAGGGCATGGGGGCTAGCTAGAGTGCCACAGGGCCTTCAGGAGCTGGGACCACACTCCTCTCTCCTCCAGCCCTGAGCACCCGCGCCACAACTGCAGCCCCAGGAGCATGCTGCATATGGGGCCACACCTCTGTTCTGAGCCCTTCAGAGGTTCACAGAATGGGTTCAGCATCGTCCCACCCCAAGGATGTGCTCACTCAGTCCACCCTCCTCAGGACTGGCCTTCGAGAGGGGCAGACAGAGCTATGGCCTTCCTCCCAGGTGCCCACTCCCAAAGGCACCTGGCCTGGCTCTCCTCTGCGGGACATCTCTCAGGGAGAACACACACAGCTTCCTATGGACCCAACCCCACATCAGGTCATTGTCACACTCAGCTGGCTGAGGACCGGATCTGGGTGATACCTCACCTTTGCTTCCACATGACACCTGTCATCTCTGTCCCGCATGAGCCTGGCAGGACACTGGCCATACGCCTCCTCCTCCTGCCCACAGCCTACCTTCTGTCAATTCATACAAGTCAGAGGGAACAATGTGGACTGGGAACAGCTCCAGGACAGAGTGCTACCTCACATCACAGGAGACTTCACTACAACTGGCCATCTCCCCAGTCTGGCGGATGCAATAAAGTTCAATATGGCGTTTTCAACACTTGCTCGATGCCACCCTCTGCATTTCCCCACATGCCTCGTGGGCCCTGTCAGCTGTGTTTCGGGGGGGAAGTGGGGTGGGTGGGTCTAAGGGAAGCCTCAGGGCCGGCCAGGGTGGGCTCCCAGTGACTGCTTCCTGGAGGAGGCCTCTTGGGCACTCAGCCCACAGGTCAGAAGCTGGAGACGGAGCCGCGCTGAGCAATGAACTTGTGAGGGTGCCGCACCCAAGATGGGCCTTAACTGAAGCCTTGCACTCCTGGTGTTGGCCAGCAGGAGGAAAGCTGTGGAGATGACGGCCCCGGACTGAACACCAGGTGGCCCTGACCTGACTGAGGAGTGTGCTCAGTCACCCTTCTGATGGGTGAGGGAGATGAGTCCCAGGGGATGGGACGGCATGAGAGCAGGGGCCCTGGCACCTCTGTGTGGCTGGGCCTCTAATCTAGGCACTCACCCGAGCTCCCCAAACACCAGCCAGTTCATCTCTAGGACCAACATGAGACGTCAAAGCAACAAGAGAAGCTACACTTGGGGGATCTTGAACCCGCTCCATGAACCTCTGATGGGCTCAGGGGACAGAGTTGTACCCCCATATCCAAAGGCTGTGGGTGGATTTCAAGTTTCAGGAAGTGTGGCCATTCAGCGGGCTAGGCATTCCTGGAGGCATTTCCATCCCACCAGCCTGCCCTCCTTTGGTCCAGGTCAGCCTGGAGTACAGCACGCCCAGTGGCTCTCCTCCAGCCTCGGAAGTTGCCTCCCCTGGTCCAGATCCCTTGAGCCCCTTTGGTCCAGCTAATGTGTCTCCCTGACTGTGTCCTGAGCCTCAGGGAGGACATTGTGCAGAGCCGGACCTGGGTGTCTGTGAGCCCAGAAGGCAGAGGCCTCTCACCTAGGGCCCGAGACTTGCATAGAGACGCCACTCCTGGAACCTGCCTTAGAACCTCTGGGGAACTGACGGTTGCTGAAGGAGGAAACTGAGACCCCTCTCCAGTGACCCACACATAAAGGTGAGCCCTTTCAAAACATAGGACCTTAAACTACATTTTTAAGATGAAGGGTTCTTGATGATCCTTTTGCTCACCTCCTTGTGGCCATAATCAAGCAGTTTTGTCAGACATGTTGCCTGAGTGGGGGTGGAGGGGACATCAAATACCGAGTGGGAAGCAAGTGAAGTGGCCCATACAGGCCTGGGCCTGGAGCCTGCCTGCAACAACCCTGGGCCTCTAGGCCTCCTACCTCGTTTCCCAGCAAAGCAGAAACACATGCTTCTGAGGCGTCACAAATGGCCGTGAGGTCGTGGCCCCCCTCCAGGGCCAGAACTATCCGGCCACCAGCCAAGCCCATCAGCTGCTTCGTCAGGTACCCGAAACCTGCAACGGGAAAAGGGAGATACAAGTAGAGGGCAGGGCGGGCGCAGGGAGGGTGCAGGGCCGACGCTGGCAGCAGATCAAAGCGTCCAGAAGTGCATTACATCACATTACAGACTCAGGGGGCTGGCACACTGCGGCTCATAATGGAAGCCAGGTTCGATCACAATAAATTCATCGAGGAATTCGGTTTGGGATCCTGTTTGATCTGTGTGAGAGCAGGAATTACGGTTTCAGTGCTTTGATTTCATAATGCTGCAAATCACCTCGTTTGGGGGGTAGGGATGGGCCTCAGGAGGAGCCTCCAGGCTCTCTCACGTGGGGACCAGAGGCCAGGAGACAGGGCGCCTGGAGCAGGGCAGCTGTGGGCAGCCTGGGCGGCATGGCCATGTCCATCCCTAGGCCAGAGGTTCTGGTTGGGGGTGTGCTAGGCACACGCATGAACACACACTCCGGCACACACGTCAATGCTGCGTGTGCCCTTCTAGGACTCTGACATCTGCATCTGGAGTGTCTGGCTTTCATCAATAGCCATGTTCCCTCCATTGCACCCACGTCACCCTCCCACAGGCAGAAACGTGATGGGTAATGATAATTACCACCCACGGCCAGACAGCCTGTCATTTATTAAAGAGCCTGTGAAAACATGCCACACTGGTCAGCATCCCCACTGCCAGGTGGCCATCGGCAGACCCGGCCCCACAATGGCAGCCATGGGCACTGTAACCTCCCGAAGCCCTGGTTAATCTCTGATGGAAACAGGGACATGGGCTTCCTGGCTGCCTGGTCACTTCCTCGCCACTAAACCACACTGCCTGGGTTCAGACGGATCTGAGGAGCCCCACACTGGAACACGGCTTCGCCAGTTTAGCCCTTGGTTTGACCTCTTTCTTCTTGGGTGATCCACACTCTCCCTGTGGGAGGGAGAGACGACAGGCTCTCTTTGACCATCTGCACCCATGGGGTTAGCACAAGGGGCCCCCAGGGTGTCCTGTAGAGTCCCAGGATCTAGATTGCTGTGACCACCATAGCAGGGGGCTGGTGGTGGTGGTGGTGGCCAGGCAGGGGTGAGGGTGCCCAGGATCTTCTGTGGACCAAGGCTCCACGCCAGTAGGTCTCTGACCTGACTTTCCGTGTCGGCAGAAGCAGAGGCCCCAATCTGTGGGAGGGCTTTTTTACAGGACTCCCTCCCATAATGGAAGTAGGGCCTTCATCTAATGCAAATCCTTAGGCGAACCCATAATCTGAGGCTCCCTCCTCCCTCCAACTCTGAACTGAACCTTCTCTCAGCTACCCCCCCTCACAGGCTTTAGGGTCTGTTCCTGCCCTCAATGTGAGTGACCACACCAGCTCTCAGCCGGACTGGAGACCCAGCCCTTAGAGTGGCCTGCATGCGCCCAGCTGAGCATGAGCCCCCCAGGTCAGCACTGTGGGTTGGATGACCTCCGGGGGGAGGGCCTGTGACCTCCTGGTCCACACCATCCTGCTGCCCCTATTGTTTTTCTGGGGCTGCCCACACTGTCACGTCTCTGGAAATGTCATTGAAGGGGAGATGTGAGATACAGCACAGCTGGCCACAGAGACAGCAGGTCCCATTAAGCTCCTGAAAACCCGACTTACATTTGGCAGAGAGGTTGTAGCCACCCAGAGGTGTGGGGTGGCCCTCCACGGCGTCGAAGCCTGCTGACACCAGCACCACATCTGGGGCAAACTCGTTTGCGATTGGCATGACCACCATTCTGAAAAGGGCAGGAGAAGGCGACAGTGAGACAGCGGGGACACAGATGGGGAGGGCTACTTGGTCACTGAACGTAGTTCCCCTCAAGGTTAGTGGGCTGAGGGCTCTCATGGAAGCTGGAATCTGACAGCTGAGAGTTAGATTTCACAGTACCTAAAAAGTCCAAACCAACAAGGCCCTGTACGAATGCTTAGAGCCAGCTGTGCACTGGTTTTGTAGGAGGCTTTCTCTGTAGACCATGGAGGTGGTCTGTAACCTTGAGCTGCACCAACATGGGGAAGTGGAGCCAGCTACCAGGGCTGCTAAGGGTTCTCTCCAAAGGTGTGGACTGCTCTGCTCACCTTACACTGGCTCTGATTCAATTCAAGATGGGCACAGTTATACCCCCAGAATCAGGGACACAGGGCCGTGTGGCTGAGGAGGTGAGAGAGCCCTTCAGCAGTGCTGGCCCCGAGGGAGCCCTCCTACCTCCTTCTACTCACCCCGAGGGCCACGTTAGCAACAAATGATCATACACGCACTTGCAACGGTGCTGCATCGGGTTAGTTAAAAAAAAAATTCTACACTTGAGATTTTTAAAAGGAAAAGTGATAGTCACATTAAAGAGAATTAATAGTTAAAAATATACACACTCACTGAGAGGTTTGGGATTAAATTATATAAGGGAAACAAGGAAAAGATTTACTTGAATACAGAAAAACAAACAAACAAAAAAACTAAACACAAAACCACCACCTGGGAGCCTGCAGTGTAATTAGGTCAGTGTGTCCCTAAAACATGTGCTTTGTATTTTAATTGAAGAACTATTAAATGTGGAGCTCAGCAGTGGTATCTGCCATTTAAGCTTGTTTCTCAGACTTTCCTTCCTTCCTCTGTAGATGAGGTGGGCAGAATCACAGGTGCTTGGGGCCCATGCCCCTGAAGTGGGCAGAGGAGGACATGATGATCTAAATGCACTGGGAGCCTCTGCCGACGTGTTGCCAGCCCCACTGAAGAAGTCCAGTGTTCACAATTCCTCCGCCTGTTTCTCAGAGTAGCTCAAACAGTTTCTGCTGCATCAAAGGCTGCTCGGTGCTCCTGCAGTTCGCCCAGCGATTTATCTCTGAGTCCGGGTTCCCTTCACTTGGAGCTTCAGAGGCCCTTGGGAGGAGGAGGCCACAGACACTGGGCATGGCACATGGTCCTTCCCCACGCAGAGCCCCGGGGACACCATGTCCAAGGACTTTTATTACAGAATGAAGTAGCCATTTAAGTCAGCAAAGTCTACTTCATAAAGTATCAACTTTGTCAAAGGACACAACATGCTCAAAATGAAATGTTCCTCTACTCCAGAACTACCCTGGATTTCAATTCCATTGAAAAGCCACCTGGTCTCTGCAGGACCCATGTTGCAGAGTACCTGGCCCTACTCCAAGAACATGCACTACCCAGTGCTGAAGGGCCCTGAGCCAGTGCTTCCTGGAGGAGAGTATGGACTGTGCCTTATGGCTTTTATCTGCTCCAATTGGGACTGAGTACCTGCCATAAAAACAGGCACTGGCAACTGAGAAATTTGCCTCTGGAACCTTACACTGGAGTCACGGCAGACGAACCAGGCTGGGTTTTGAACAGCATTCCCTTTTCCAAGGCCAAGTGCAGTTCATAAACTTCCCCAGGAAGCACCTCTGCACTAGCCTCAGGGTGTGCGTTTGGGGCACCATCCATCAGGTTTAAGGAACAAAACACAGGATCTGGATGGGTGTGGCTAGCTTTCAGTCTGCGGACACATGGCCATGCGTGAGCTGCACACAGACCATGTGAACACACTAGCATGACTGTGCCCCAGTAAAACTTTACTTAAATCACATGGTGGATTTGGAACGAGGGCCCCACTCTGCCAACCCCTGCTCCTCACCCATCATTACAATCATGGTGATGCTATTCAATGTCCAGCACCAGTTCCAGATTTTAACATGTTTCATTGTGTCTATGGGGATGTATGTGGTAACCAAAGTTCACAGATTCTGTGAACGCAAAGGGGTGTCTGTTACACAAAGCACATGTTCCTGAGCAGGCATGGGGTTGTGTTAACCATCCGGCCACGACACCACCCCTGTGCCCTAGCCGATCTGTCCCCGCAGGTGCCCTGAAACATCATCCACATAGATGGGTCTGTAGACGCCTCCTCTCTTGAGGTGCCTGGAAACTTGGGCTGCCAGTGCTATCTGCTCTTCTCAGTCTTCCTTCTGTAGCATGTGCTTCCTGTAGACGTTCCTGTGTGCTGGAGAGGCCTGACCAGGAGCAGCAGTTGCCAAATGGACAGACACCCCTCCAACCTCAACCCCATCTTACAGGAAGTGGTTGCCCTCCTCACTTGCTGGCACTATTTCAACAATCAGCATTGTGATGATTCCATCTATTTATATAAAAGCCTAAGCAACCATTACAACCAGTTGACCACTGTGACGTGCACTGACCACCAGGGGAAAGATGCTCAATGCAGGAGCTGCCCCCTGGTGGTCAGTGCACCCCCACAGCCAACCTCCCACGGCCGGCCAACCTCCTGCCATCCCTCCTGCAAGCTGGCTGGCCCCGATTGCCAGCCAGGCCAAGGGACCTACCTATGCATGAATTTGTGCACTGAGCCTCTAGTTTATTACATGCTGTGACTGTGAGTCCCATCTTTTGAGAGAGCCACAAAAACCATGTTTGCACCAGAGCCACTGGTTGGAGCAACTGTTCATAAAATATTTAAACTCTACTGAGAGTTAGAATCAGAACAAATAGAAATTATGGGAACCCATTTGCTTTGGCCTGGCTGCCACCAGCGGTGATGCCCACAGCCTTGCCCTGCTCCCATCTGCCCACAAGCATGGTGGCCAGAGAAGGTGCACATTAGCTAGAACACAGCTAGACCCTGAGGATGGTCTGAGCTCCCCCCCCCACTAAGAAGACCACTTCCCTACCCCCACTCCTGCCCCTGCAGAGCCTGCTGCCTGCCTCATGCTCTGGGGCTGGGGGCCCGTTTGCTCCCAGCCTCCTCACCTCCTGGGGCTTATCCTGGTGAAGTGGGCACACCCTTCCCTCTCTTCTGTAGCTTCTGGGGCATTGGAGGGATGCTTTCCTGGGCCCCTGGGCCTCTTGACTCTAACCCATTCTCACCCTTTCCCTCCCTGCCTCTTCTGCCATGTCTTGCTCCACAGGCTTCTCCATACTCCACCAGTCACCACCAAAGGAGGCCTCGGACCCATGCAGCATCTTTCCCTCATGATTCCCACAGTCTCACTGCCATTGTCCTCAAGGCCACCTCCACTACAAGGGCCCTTTTGCTGCTTGGAGCTGACCTTGATCTCTGCCTCACTTTGGGCAGAGCCCCAGCTTCTCCACTAGGCACTCTCCTCCCCCAGGTCCTCAGAAGAGCAGTGTGTTTGCTGTCTCTTGTACCCAGCTCCCATTCACTCCTGCACATTCTGTCTTAACTTCTACCGACTATCTTCCCTGAGTCAACAGTGGCCCCCTCCCAACTGCCAAATAGAGGGACACTTTCTGGCTGTTTCCTGGAAATCTGCTAAAACACCACTGACCCCACTATGCATCCTTTTCTGACCCTGCTGTGCCATCCTTCAGCCCAGTCAAGACCTGTTCTTCCTGGTTCTCTGCCCACTATCCTCACCCTCATCCACCAGCACTTGAGCCCCTGTCCCCCATCAGCTCTATCTGATCACCCAACATTTTCTGAGATGGCCCTTCTCACCCTGTTCCCATTCTGGCCAGGGTTGCCATGCTTCCCTGGGCTTGTCCATGGGATCTAGGGCAGTTCACACATCCTGGAACCAATTCTGTCACCAAATTGCCATGAGATAGCTGTCAAACATGAAGAGCACACCACCTTAGTCATCTGGACAGAGCCCTGGACACTCACTGTCAGAGTCATGGTCCAGCTCCCTGGAGGCAGTCACACAGCCTTGATCGGCTCCTGTGGGAAAGCCCCATTCCCCGACACCCGTGCCAGCTCACTCCTGCGTACTTGTGAGTGGGCACAGGTACATGTACCTGCTGCAGCCCTGTGGTCCCTGTCTGAGTCACCTGAGGGGGCAGGCACTGCATGGATCACCTGTTCTATCCCCGCTGCCCAGGGCAGGGCAGTTGAACACGAGACTGGCCAATTCTGAATTTCTAGCTTACATTTTTGCTTCTAAAATCACCGCAGAATGTCCTCAGGTAAAATTTAGAGACATGGAGAGAACACGGAATGTCATGGACATTTCAACACAACAGAAAAGTTAGAAAGAAGCAAAATGCACCTTAAGGATGTAACAAAATTCAGAAGTGCCACAACCTGACGCCATGCCCGAAAGGCTAGGGAAGGCGACGTGAACCTGCCCGGCTGTTCAACTGCTGGGTCACTGCAGTTACCACTTTGGGATATGCAGGTCCCTGACGCCTCTCAGACACTATGTCACAATGAAATCCAAATCACAATGTCAGAGTATGGACAATCCCGATTTCACTTCCTCACTGCTGATAGATGGACCTGCTGGGCTGCCAGATGCAGGTAAGCGAGGGGTTAAGGAAAGTGCACCATTATCTCCTTCAGCCCAAGCCCTCAGCTCCTCAGCTAACTTCAAAGCCTCACTCCACTGGTTTGAATTAGGCCCCCTTTTCTCCTACAAGCCTCTTGCCGCCCCAGGAGAAAGGGCCGCTGCTCCTGGATTTCATTAGGGGCAGTTTTCTTATCTCCCCCTCATCGAAGGCTTGATCTCCTGAAATGCAATGTGGCAGGCAGGGTCTGAGGAACACGATGCTCCGTCTGAGGCACGCACTGTCCGCAGGGCCCCAAGGGGAGCAGCACAGAAGAAAGGGGAAAACGGATCCTGACCCTCTTCCCCCTCCGATCAATGCCCAGGGAACCATAAATTGTAAACTTCAAAGTGCTATTTTACATTAAAATCAATAAAATAAAAAAAACTGAAACAATTTTCCTTTTCAAAGAAGTTATTTAAGCTTTAAAAAGCTCATTTGATAAGGTATCATCATGTATACACTTGGCAGGAGATTAAAACAGAATGTCGACAGAAACTCCAAGGGAAAGGTTCATCTTAAAGGCTGGCCCAGGGAGGGGGACAACTTCTAGGGCCACCTGGCTGCCCACCACCAATGAAATGCCAGAAGAGGTGCTGACTTGTCCGCCTAGGATCGGAGTGCACAGGGCACTGACAAGCTGCAAGGGCCAATCCAGTCAAACCTGGCCTGCAAAATGTCTGAAAGAAGAGAGAACTACCTAGTTCTTACCACTTCAAGCTTCAGTTTAAAGGAAGTTTTACCTTCTCTGCCTACACCAGGTTTGGACCGTGTTGTGCCTAGGTCCCCTGGATGGCACCAACATTCACTTGGGCACTGTTTACACCCCACATGGTGGCATCTGGACACCTATTTCCAAAGGAACCCCTGAGAGGCCGTTTCTCAGGCAGGAGGGAGTGATGACGAGTGGCTGTTCCATGCACATGCAGCCACCGCCCAGGTGGGCAAGACACACGGGTTCAGATTTCATGAAGCTGATATTTAACTGTGTACATGAGAAAATTGTCAGATGTTTTGGGGCTTCCTTCTTTCTTAAATTAGGCAGGGTAATTATAAAAATTCCACAATATTTGATGGAGTAAGAAGAAACATCAAAATTAGACCAATGAGGCCAGGAGAAAAAGTAATTCAGTGTGAATCAGGGTAGGTCTTCTAAGAGGTAACTGGCTCCTTTTCAGATCAGTTCCGCTGTTGGAGCAGATGATGGAAGGCCTCTCCATTGCAGACCCTCACATGCATGCAGGCGCTGGGGACTCGGACCCCGTTCTGAAGTGAGTGAGCAGATGCTTGAAGGGTTCTGTGAGCCATGTAGGTCTTACTGGGATGCGAGGCAGAATCCTCAGCAAAGCTTTCGCAAGATATGTCCTTAATAGATCTCAGCCTTCAGAAAAGGAGGCGGAGTCACTGGAGATGCCCCAGGGTACTAACTCCCGTGTTTTCTGAGATGGTCAGATATCACCATGGAACAAAGCTCTCCTCCTCTCAGGGGCCCTGCCCCACCCTGAGCTACCCAATCTGCCATTTTAAAGTCAACAGAGGCCACCTGCGCTATAGGAATTACTTCAGTCTGGCCCAGATCAAAGCAGAAATCACCACCTGATGACAAAAGCAAACACTGAGGCTCAATTCTAGGGCCCAGAATAACACTAAGCAAGTGCATGAATGGGGAGGCCCTCTAGTTTATCAATAAAGAAGAAGATCTTTTCTGTCTCCAGTCTTCTCACAGAGGTTTCTGGAAGCTAAGTCAGGAGACCACAGCCTTCCAGATTTGAGCACCCACTTTTCGTTAATACAGCACCTCCTGATCTCTTCACTGAACTATTGGGACCGAAAGTGCACAGCCTGGAGCTTTGCAGATAAAGGTCAGAAGACAGCCTCAAAGATTCCACCTTCAGCTTATAGGAGGAACTAAGACCGCACCCTAGAGCCTCAGAGCATCGTCCCTCCACATGCAGGATAGAAACGTCTGTCTCTGCAAGGTGCACCCTGGGGATGCTGGAGGGTCCTCCTGAGACGGGTCTGGGTGCTTATGAAGGAAAGTGAGGGTCAAAGTCAACAGGAACTGAGGCATGGTGGTGAAATTCCTTGAGGCCCCTAAATGCCTGTGAATAGGAAGCCAGGACAGTTACCTGAAAGCTGCCAAGTACTCTGCATCTCCCATGGGGGGGTCAAGGCCACCAGTGAAAGCCATGTTGACGTTGAAGCCCACGCCGGGCCCTGTGCCCACCTGTGAGAAGGAAACATGTGTCAGACCCTTGACAGACAGCCCTGGTGGTCCCACAGCAGAGCTGTGGCTGTGCTCCTCATGAGCTGTCCCTGGTCCCTACAACCCTTGACATGCTGACTCTGATGACAGCATGTTTTCATAGCATTCGGGCTCTCACCCCGCCCACCTGACCTGTGGGTGCAGTGGGAGCCACTCTTTCCCTGGGCCCTGGATGAACTGCAGCTCTGTGATGAGTGACAGACACAGGCCAGCAGAGGGCCACAGGAAATGATGGCAGACGAGGCTGTCCTTTCAACTTCCTTCCGGGAAATAAGATCCGGAGGTGGAGTAGCTGTTTCCTTGGGTGGGATTCCCTACTGCTGGGGCTATCACAGGCATGGCTGGGCTGAGGTGTCATGAAGGCTCTGGCACCACAGGTGAAAGCAGAGCACAATCAGCCTGCCCGAGGGACTGGACAGGAGCCTGCCCGAGGGACTGGACAAGAGCACGGCCTGCATAGCAGTTATTCGTGGAGTAAGAAGGCCACCCTGCTGCCTGCTCAGGAACACCTCTGTCAGCCTAGATTGGGGTGGGAAACAGTCTCCAGGCCTTCACTTACACATCAGACAAAAATCAGGCTGCTGTACACAACGGGATGGAATTCAGGCCAGTGCTTGCCTCAAGTCACCTTCTGGGGTTTCCATGAGTGGGTAGCCCTTGCTTCTGCTGTGCAGATATCCACTCTGTCTCCAGGGTAGCCCTGCCTTGACCTCCTCCCAAAGTCCTGCACACCTACAGGAGGCCCTAAGTACCTCGTCAGGCGCCCCGCTTCCTGGGAAGAAGTTGCCATCGTCGTAGCGGTGCAGTGAGATGTAGAGAACATTGGGGTCGCTGTAGAAGGCCTGCTGGGTCCCATTTCCATGGTGCACATCCTGAGGACAGCAAGAGCGGACTCAGTGCTGGGCCAAGCCAGGACATCTCCCAGGCTTAGTCCCCTAGCAGCCCAGCCAGGCCACTAAGTTCATAGGAATGCCACCCCCCTGCCTGGAAGTCAGTCAGAGGGTCCCAGCAATTTATTAATTTCTTGCTTGGCTGTGTCTATGAAAAGTGAGCAGCTTCCTCCTCCCTCTGACCATGGCTGCTGATGTCCGAGCACATGAGAAGTGTCAGCTCTGTGCCTGACACTGGGGTAAGGGGTGGGAAACGACCCCGCAGACTGAGTGGCAGGTGCACAAGGCACAAAGCACTGTGGGCCCAGGTCCCAAACTAAATGACAAACCACTTCTCCTAATCACACTGGGTGGCCAGGCTTCCACCAGGCCCTAGGCCCCACTTCCTTGGCCAGGACCATGAGGCCACTGAGATGGGGGGGCCTGCTTCACCCAGTGTGCACTTGAGGGGCTGCTTGCAAGTCAGTGATTGGGAATACCAGAGAACTGCTTAGTAACTTTTCTTTCATAAAAGTCACCTGTGCTCATTATCAAAAACATAGGACCACAGTACATAAGTTGTGAGAAACAAACACATAGTCAGGCCACCAGGAACCGCTGATTCTGTGCAGACAGGCGGCAGGTGCACGCCACCTGTATCCTGTGGGACACGGCAGCACATGCCTTGGGGAGGTTCTCTGCAGGTTCTGTGAAGGTCACCAACTTTCGCCGATTGCTACAGCCACGCCTGCGTTGATGACCTGGTTGAGCTGTTATAGATCACGTGGCGCTTGTCGCCTCCCCAGCATTTCTAGTTATTCCCTTAGGAGCAACTAAGCGCTCAGGGACACAGGCGCCAGGCACACTTGCAGCCAGTGATTCTGTTTTCGCTGAGGCCACAGCCACCTAAGTGCCCCTGGACCTCCGTGACCAGTGTTCACATCTGGGAGCTTGCTGGGTATCCTGGGTTGCATTTTAGTTTTTCTTATATTCAAAGTGAGAGGACATTGCATTATAAATCATACGCCTACCTGGTGTATCTAATTTTTTTCCTTAAAATTTTATAAAATTAATCATAAATACTAAAGAGAATACCCTTCACACCGCCCCCCCCCCCCGCAAAAAAAAAAAAAAAAAAATTAACACCTTGACTATCCACCTCCAGTACCAGAACCCATGACCCTGATTGTGCAGTTCAGAGGTCACAGCGTTTTAAACTAGAGCTTGCCCTTTGGGGCACTGGGATTGTGAAAAGTGGTAGGATCAGCTGTTGAAGTTATGAAATAGATCCGTAACAGGTCTGGGCTTTTATTTTCTAAATCTTTGAGATAGTTTCCGGAAGCTAAGGTCCCCAGAGGCAGAAATGCCTGCCTTCTCCCTCTAAATCGGACACAGTCTTCCTGAAAGAATCACAGCTCCCCCAGCCCTGCCTTGGGAAGGGAGGCCCCTTACCCAGTCCACTATGAGCGTCTTGCTCACATTCAGCCTCTGCTGGAGAAGCCTGGCTGCAACAGCCACGGAGTTGAAGTAGCAGAAACCCCTGCAGGTAAGAATCAGGAGAAACGGAGAAAAAAATTCAGGTTTGGATCAGGTGGGATTTCTTCTTTTTGAGATTTTTTGAGAGAGAGAGGAAGGAAGAGGGAAAAACAATCGGTGAGGAAAGTAAATATCCATGAGCTGCCTCCTGCACACCCCCTACTGGGGAGCAAACCCACAACCTGGGTAAGTGCCCTGCCCAGGAATCAAAAGGGCCACCTTTCAGTGCACAGATGACGCTCAACCAATTGAGCCACACTGCCCAGAGCTAGATCAGTTTTTAACAACTTGCAACAGAACCATCAAGAGTTTAAGAGAGTCTGGTGAATGTACAATTTCTAATCAAGCAGTCTGAGAACCTTACTTGATGCTTATGATTGACAGACAGACCAGTCTCCTGTGTGCAGGCGGCCAGGCTCCCTGTAAGAAAATCCATTTCACTTTGTACCAATATTTCCCTCTTACTGGCCTCTCAAGAGACAGCATGGGTCACAGAACACAGACGTGTGACCTATTTTAGCTGCTCACTGCCCATCTTCCTACATTCTAAGACATATGACAATGATGTATACAGGCACCCCAGTGACTGACTGTAATTTCAGAGTCTTATTCAAGAGAGTAAGAAAAGCTAAGAAAGTTATCCAAGTAAAAATGAAAGTCTTCTCAGTCTAAACCTGTTTTTGTGGAATTCCCACAGAACCGAGTGGCCTGTTATTTTGCTTCTGGAATCCAGGCTGCAGTCTGGGAGCCGCCCCCTAGGATGTGCAGCTGTAGCTTGGTGCACAGGGGAGGAAATGCACTGAAAACATCCCTCTGTCACCCACTTGTTTACTCAGAATTTCCAACACTGAGATTCAAGCAAGAAGTCACTCTGAGCACTGAGACAAGGCCCTGCTCCCAGCTGGCCTGGAGTGAGTGCTCTGGGTCATGGGGCAGCAAGCGACTTTTCAGATAAGGCTTCAAATACTCCAATCCATGTCCACCTCTTTCTTCCTACACAAAGATGATTCCTTCTGGAACTCTGCTCTGACCCCCTCACTCCTGACTGGAAATGACAGGAGCTCCTCTGGGCATCACGGATTAGTCTGTGGCCCCACTGTGGTCTAGTGGCTTTACAAGGGCGTTGCCCACCCTGCGCTTCCTGGCTGCACCTGACAGTGCCGTCTGCCAGGTGACATACCACGACTCATTCTTCAAGGCTCAGCCCCAACATCACCTCCTCCTAACTCACCTGGGCTATCTCCTGGCCAGGGGAGGCCACCGTGTTCACTGGGGTGGTTTCCTAGTCCAAAGAGATGGCACCTCACCCTGCAGGCAGCAGAGGCACGCTGCACAACCCCTGAGCCTGAGTCAGTCCTTATGACCTTGCCCCAGGTGAGTGTGCACCAGTCACTGGCTCTCCACGAACATGATGAACTGGACAATCCATACACCACAAGCACCACCTCAGCCACCGCCTCAGAGGTGCTCAGCCAGGGGAATCCAGAACCCAGAATAAAGTCAGAGAGCTGGCCATGAGGGCATAACTCTGGGACTTCAGCTATATCATCACCATACCATAAGCAGTTACCTGAGAGGTCATACTGAAAACAAGTGGAGGGTTTGACCCTGAATGCTCAGTAACAAGGACGGGCCACATGGACTCGTCTCCCAATTTTTCGCATCACACTTAACAACTGACTTGTCTAGACTAATTCTGTGGATTCCTTTCATTCCTTCTCATTTTCCAATTCACCTTTTCATCACACCCATCAGCGAAGTCGACCTTTGACTCCAGAATGGCTGGATTAGTCACTCATGCTAGATCGGGGACATTTGGTGCTGAATACATGCAAGCACATTCCACATCACAGGAGAGCTGGCAGGTGGCAACTTCAGTCCTTTAAGGAGTCAGACACCAGCCCCTCCCCCACCTGCAGGGCCATGTGTCTACTTACATGGGTGTGCTCTCCTCTGCGTGATGTCCTGGAGGGCGGACCACAGCAAAGCCATTCTACACACAATACCAGACATGTGGGGGGGAAACAGGGAGGAAAGATTGGTTTCACATCAGTGAGAAAACCATACAGACTGAACGGTTAGCAGACTCAGAGGACACCCGAGGATGTGGATTTATGCGGAACCCAGGGATCAGATAAGACCAGGATAAAGGGCTGACTGCAGCATTGCTGAGATGGCTAGTCTACAGGCGATTGTGGTTACTAAGGAAAAGTCGTTCCTGACTTTCTACCTTTGCCAGCCTGCTGGCCAGGGTGGACACTGCTCAGTGTGAGATTGTGGGAGGGATGGAGAGAACCCTTAGTCCACCTCTGATCAGGACTCTCCAGGAAGCACCCTGATGGGGTCCCTGAGTGTAGATGAAATGGAAGGGGCTCAGCTGTGGGACAGATGTCATGTCCCAGTCTGGCCTTGACGTGCAGGTCTGTCATTATCGCTGCAGCTCAGTGTACAGGGGAGTAGACCACATGGAAAACAAGCCCATCAGCACCTGGAAGAAATGTCTCAGAAGCTGATGGGAGCTGAACACCCGTGCCTTCTATTAGGACCTCTAGGTCAGGTAGGCTTTAACAAACCATCCACTTAAAGGACATTCTGTAGCTGCTGTATACACAGCACAGGATGTATACGTTGTACAGAATGTATGCACTGTATAGAATGATACACTATATAAAAATAGTTTTCATGAGCATTTCTTATTCTCACCAGCAACAGGAAGCTCCTGGTCAGTCTATATACTCAGTAGTGCAGAAGCATCTCCCTGCACACGGACCCTGTGTTGCGGTGTTCAGAGTGCAGACCACAGACCCTGGGGACCCTGTGCCCCTCCAGAAGCAGCTGTTATAATGACTCTAACCTTTCCCAGAGTGCTGGCTACTGTGTGGATACACTGGTGGGTCCACTGAGAGTGTCATAGCTGGAACTCAGGCACCCACATGCGGCGTGATTTTTGCCACACATTTGCAGGGGAAATGGCAGAATGTTCTCAATGAAGCAGTAAACTTATCAATTTCATCAACTCTCAACCCTGAACACACGCCCATCCTGTGGAGAAGCTAGAGGCTGTATGAGCAGTTCTGCTGCTGACCCAAGCCTGGCTGCTCTCTGCAGGAGAACCAGTTTTCCTCAAAAGCACTGCCAGAAAACCACTGTGTACACTGAGTGAATAGGACTTCCTCAAAAATAAACCAAGTGAGCTGTCACCTCAGGGAAAGTGGTACTCAGTGGTAGCCGTTAGTGCTAAGATCTGAGTGCTCAAGTAAAAATAAGCCAACATTCGGGGAACCTGGATGACCACTCCTCCTGGCACTCAGAAGACAGTCTTGAGTGCTGACTGTGCAGGGTGATGGGCAAGGCTGGGAAGACTTACATCACCCAATGAGCTCGTATTTCCAAGTGACCAGTGTTACCCATGTCACGTGCAGACACAGGATCTATTCAATGTGTGAGACAGGCCAATGGATTTTCAGGTGCCACATTGCAACTAAATTCAAGAGACTTCCACTTGCTAAATTTTGGTGCAGCATCAAAGAATATCCACAATTACCTCAAAAAGCTACTAAGATATCTCCTTTCCACAATTCCGTGTCTGTGTGATATCGACTTTCTTCATGTACTTCAACCAAACAGCATGTCACCAGAGAGCACACAGAAGTAGCTATGAAAACCCAGCTGACCTCCTGAGCCAGACAGATATTTATAAATATTTTTGAAGTTTCTCGGCTTCATCTCTAATATGGTCCATGCTGATGACACAACTTATACACACACAAGTTTTTGGGATGCTCCAATACTTCCTAAGACTATAGTGCTTGAGGACCCATACCTTTGAGGACAGCTACGTGATATGTTTATACAGATGTAGGAAATGTTCCTCTTGATTCACAGCTGTTGACAGAACAAGGTCCCCTCTTTGTGCCTCACTGTGCCTGTCTAGAGGGGGAGTCCCCCACCCCCAGAAATGTCCAGGCAGGTTTCCTGCTAGGAGCCCATCTCTGCTGTGTGCTCACTGACCTTCAGCTCCCCCGTGGCCACCTTGAAGACCAGCTCCACCACACAGCCCACAGCCAGGCGGGCTGCCCCCGACGAGTGCACCTCGTTCCATATGGTGTCACTGTCCACCTGTGGAAACAACACCAACAGTGAGACCCGTGCCGTGGGCTCTTGTCCCAGAGCCTGTCTCTTCCTCACCAATTACAGAACATGCCTTACCTTTTGCCAAAGGCATGCCAAAAATCCTAAGCAAGAAAAGAACAGTACCTGCACCAACACTAGTGTGTCTAGGTTTGCCCCTGCTGGAGTGTCCCTGTATTCTCAGCTGCTCCGACTCACTCAAAGCTGAGTACAGATGTCAAGGTTGCCTAGTCAGTTCCTGTTTGTTTTTACTACAACTGCAGTTGAGTTAAACTAACAATTAGCAAAATGAAATGTGAGAAGAATTAAGAGGTCTTTCCAAATTATTGCCGTATTTTGTGCAGAATTTAATTAGAAGCACCAAATACTTGATAAATTCTACAGGAATGGAGGCATGGAGTGGAGGTGAGGGGAGAGAGGGTCTCCTGGAACATCCAGGTAGACTTTGTGCCACGCTCTGCCCAGGTGATGGCATGTCTGCCTGTTCACTGCCACTGTGTGCAGGTATGTCAGAAATTTCTGGGTGTGTATTGGTTTATTTATTGAGGCATATTAGATTTTTTAAGGCTGGGAGGGAAGGAGATAGACTTAGGCCTCAGTTTTGTGAAGAGTGTCTCCTTGTAGAGCAGGGAAAGAGGGAGGCAGGATTAAGCACAAAGCCCCTGGGCGCTGTGCCCCACCCACATGTACCTTGGCCACACACACTGTATGCCCTATTTTGGGACACAGCCCAGTGAAGATGCTGAGAAGTTGTGCAGTAACATGATTGTTTGTCTTTAATACAGCATCTGCAAGTCTAAATGAGGACCCTCCTCTCCAAATTCATCTCCTCCGAGCACTGATGCTTTGGACCCCAAAGACAGAGGCCCAGGCAGCTGCACACTGAGATGTTGCTGCCAAACCTGTGCCCACCCCTCCTGGCAGGTGTGTCCTGGTGCCGCACAGGCTCTTGCCCACCTGATTACGACACTGACTATTCATGTGGGTGGATGGACTTCTTTCAAGGAAGTCTTGAAGCTGTATCTTCAAAGCCAGATGCTTTAGAATAAAGTACATTTCTGAGGGGTTTGAGCCACTGTCTGATGAGTGCTACTTCTCGAGGGTTATTTTTTCCAACGACCAAACCTCTATGTTCTTTAAATAGTTTCCAAATGTCAAAGGAATGCTGTGCGCTTCCCCAACTCTCCCAGCTTTGATATTCAACTTCCAAAGCCCGGCTTCTGAGCTAGGGCACACTGCTTTGCTGTCCTCGGACGGGCTGTTCACACAACCATCTGCACCCAGCCCTGGCTGCAGAAACACGTCATAAAATCAAAGGTGACAGCCCTTGACTGACAGCCAGTGGAGGTAACCACCAGCTGCCTGTGCCTTCAGGAAGATGACACTTTCATGGGCAGGCCAGCCAAGGCTGCTCCTCTAAGGACTGAAGGCAGTTTGGGCAAAACCACTCAGGCTATTTCTCTCTACAGGTGAAGATTTAGGCTTTAGGGCTAAGTAACTCAGTGTGGGGAGGGAGTGAATTCACACACACCATGTACTTCGAAGGCCTCTGCTTTCCCACTGTCCACCCTGGGTCCTGTACCATCCTACCCAGAGCCAAGGACAGCCCCTAGCCCCACAGTGGGATACCAGGATCTTCCACTAGTTCAGGGCTGGCCCTCCAGCTGCTGGCCACTCGACTGTGGATAAGCCTGGGATGGTCAACCCTCAGCCCCAAGTTCCAGAAGCATGAGGGTCTGGGGAGTGCAGCCTGGACAAGTGGCCCCATCAGGAGGCAACCCTGCTTAGAGTGAGGTGGCAATGTGCCTGTTAATTCAGGGCAGGACCCACTGCATGCAAAGATGAGTGGGTGGAGAAGACTTTCACAGAGACTGGGGTGGACAGACGAGGTGGCCCTTTAGGAGTGCAGAGCACGGGCACAGCACTCAGTACCACCAGGCAGGGGACTCACCAAGTCCTCACTAAGAGAAACCTACAAATAACGAGGAGGTGAGCAAAGCAATTTTTTACCTGGGTTGAAAAGAGGTAAATCATCTTAGCCTCTTTTAATACAGTTAAGGAAGAATGAGTTATACACCTAAATGCTAATTTAAAGCAACTCAGGAAAAAGGGAGCAGCTTCTCTTACTGCTTCATAATGTTCCCACCCACCCTTGGCCTCCTAAGGTCGGCTGTGCTTCCTGAAGCCTCTAGGGACTGGACCCTGGTGTTGGAAGGAGATGCTGAGGCCCAGGAGGACTGTGCTGCACCAGCGACTCAGTAATTATGGAAACAATGGAAAGAGAAACCCTGCAGTTCACACTCCTAATTAGCCCCCAGGCGCCCCTCTACCAGTCCATGTGCTGGGACTTTTGTCCCCGAGCGTGGGAGCCTCTTGTGCCTGGGTGTGAGCTGGGCTCTGGTCCCTGAGCTGGGCTCTGGTCAGCCTGCGGTCAGGTCTGGACTCACACTGGGGAGGGATATCTAGCTCAAGGTCCCACTCCGCTTTCATTTGCAAATTGTAAGTCCTGCCTTGCCCCGTGTTAGCTGCAGGGCTGCGCGAATCCAAACCTTTTCAAGTCTGGCCAGAAATTTGCCCCGAATTAAGAGATTGCAGCCTACTTACAATTCAGAATAAAACAACTCTAGGAGGGCTTGGTGGTGGATGAATAAATGCCGCTGATTCCCTTTCTGACGGGATAATTTTCAAAGCAGCGATTTTTGTAAAGACTCAGGAAGAAAACAATTTCGTCTCATTTCCATAACAGAATCCAGACCTTGGGCTTCACCCTGAGATCTGTAATTACACACACACCCCGCCTCTGCGTAGTTTCAGCCCGACAGCTTTGTTGTCCACTTGGTCATTTCCCGGGTCGCTGGGACTTCAGGGCCAGCAGATCGCCAGAAGGAGGCCTGGTCTCACTTTCAAACTGCAGCTCTGATCTTGCCCCCACCCTCATCTAAGTGGGTGTGGGCCGGGAGTCCCTCCTTTATTAAAGAGGCTTTGGTTGGGGAGACCCCACCTTCTCTGAACTGAGGGAGGCTGACACCCAGACCAGAAAGTCCTCCTATTCAGTGCCCACATTAAAACTCAGGTCCTCATAAGTGTCCCCCTGATCTGATCTGATCTGCTTAAAAGCATGTCAGAGTTGGAAAAGCAGTGAACACACCAAACTGGCAGCTTCTGGAACTTCAATGGCCCCTAAACATCAGGCTTCTGCAGTCTGAGCTTCATTGGGGCCTGGGTTTGGACATCGGGACAACCAGGGTTTTCACCACCTGAATCGGAACGAGCAAACTTTGCTCTGCAGCAAGGAGACCAGCCTGCACACCCGATCCCGTTTCCTAAGGCAAGCCACGGTGCCAGACGACCCTCCCCAGGAAGGTGCCCGAGTCCAGCCATCAAATGCTCACAGGCTCACGGGGCCTTTGAAGCCACACGTGTGAGCGGCAGGGCAGCCCGGCTGCCAGCCCGTTTATGGAAAACACCTGGCAGCCATTATCCACTCGGCAGAGAGCGAGGCGGCGGTTTCTGTGACCACTGGGACGCTGAGAACAAACAGGACATTATTTACACATTAAAGAAATACTTACCCCGACACCGCCACAGGGCAGCCTGACAAACATGGACGTCAGCGAGCCTGCAGGAGAAGGAGAGCCAAGGTCAGAGGGCCAAGGTCACAGGGCGCCTGGCTGAACTGAGCCCAGAGTAGGCTCTGAAAATGGTGTAGGTTCCTTGAAGGCATGGGTACCATCATACATCCCCAACTGAGGGCAACCTAGTTTCAAAGATAGAACTATACCCTCTATACCGGGGTGGCACCTGGTGGGCAGTGGGTCCTGGGCTTGCGGGACCTTTCTCAAGGCAGGGGTGGCACCCACAGGTGGGCTTTGCTTCCAGCCAGAGCTTGTGCACCTTGTATGGCAAAGCCCCATGCTCCTGAGGCTGTGTCTGAGCAAACCTCAATCATCTGATCTGACCTGGCTCCAAAGAGAGCCTCACTGATGGCCCTAACACTGGGGTAAGTCCCAAGGCCCCAGCAACCCCCCTCACTCCCAAGCTGTAAACAGGGAAAGGAGCTGGAATACAATGAGCCTTTCAGACACAGGGATCTTTCAAGAATGTGAATAAAGACAGACCCACCCCCACTGACAAATGTTTGACGTTCACTTGGATGGTACATGAAGTTGCCACCTGGAAAAGCCTGTCCAGCTCCAGCACACAGGAGCAAGCCTCCCCAGCCCTTCCCAGGTCACCACCATCAGAAGACGACCCCCTGACTTTCAGGAACACCTAGGAGGGTGACTGACCAGCCCCCTCGAGTCCACAGTGCACTGCAGCCCAGCCAAGCTGTCCCTGCACATCGCTACACAGGTCTTGCACAGGACTCAGGAATTTGTGGATTCAATTAGAAGAGGAAGAGAAGCCACCCAGCAGTGTTTAAACACCTAATTAGGGTTAAGTTAATACCTGAGATAATCACCAGCTATTACCATGTCTGGGACACTCAGACTGACGGCAGTGGCGTGTCCTGGTGAGAACAACCCTCAGATTAAAATAGATCCCAGTGGTGAGAAGGAAACCAATCAGGTGTTCTCATAGCCACGTGAACAGATTTTAAAACAAAGTTTAGCAGAAAAGCAAAAGTAGAGTGAGTTATAGTATCATGGGTGCAAACAGCACACACTTGATGTTGCCCTGTGACTAGGGACCTCCCTGTGGCTGGAATTGGGGTTACTGGTTCGAGTGGCGGCAGCAGGACCACAGGCCCCTCTCCCAGAAGGAGGAGAACACTCCAGGCAGCGAGACCTGCGCTGAAGCAGCGACATTTCCTGGAGGACCCTGGAGACTCTGGGGATTAGGCACTGCTGGTCACGCTGCGTGGCTGTCTTTTGCATGTAGTCTCCTTGATCAGTTCTTCCTGCTGAGGCCACTTGCCCTCTCCCCACTGTCCACTGTCCTCATCTCTTAAGGCTCCTTTCTTCCAAACCCTTCCTGGCCTCAGGCTAGCTGTCCTTTCCTCTGGCCCTGAATGCTGGCTCATTTCTGGAGATGCTCCGCCCTTCTCTGCACCACAGCTCTAGCTTCCAGCCCTCCAGAAGCTATGTGCCCCTCCAGAGCCTTTGTCTCCTACCTTGGCTCAGACTTCCCTGCCCTCTGCCTAAGTCCCTCTCCATGACAATGGGATAAGGGGCCTGTGCACCCCAAACACCCCCCAGAGCTGAGAGACACAATTGCCTTTTTGGGGTGAGTAGCAGGATCATTCACATGAAGGGTGTACATGATGTACATAAACATCCTGTGACTGAGACCACATCCACACCCTCCTCCATGGGGACCAGGAACCTCTCTTCTGCTCCTGGCCAATGGTCCCCACACTTTTACTTATGGTTCTAACTCCTATGTCGTATCTTAAACCACAAGAGCTGAGCTTTGAAAAACCAAGTAGCAAGAACAAAGCAGAGAACAAAAGTGCCTCTGTGGGGTGACAGCTCTCAGGCCATGACAGTGGAGGGAATCTTTGGTCCACACCCTGACATCAGCTTTCCCAGGGCTCACAGTGCATCAGGGGGAAAAGGGTTCAGGACAGCAGAGCATCGGGCAGAGCTTGGACCAGGCTCCTTGCAGGCGAGGGTAGGCAGCAGGCTGGGAGCTCGAGCATCTAACCTCTGCTGTCTCAGATCCTATGAAACCAGTGGTTCCCACACCATTTCCTATATGGACACAACTAAGACTTAGAACCCCACTAGATACACAGGGTGAAAACTCCTCCTCCAGCACCTCACCTTAAAACTGGACGCAGGCCCTACAGAGAAGGGCTCTCCCTGCCTGGCAAGAGACTGGTGGGTGACACTCACTGTCTTAGCCACAGCCTCACGGGCCAAGGATGGGACCTCGAGTGAGCACAGGGCCGGAAACAGCCTCGGGCAGTAAAGTTAGGAAGGCCTCGGAATACCTAGACGTTTCTTACTGTCCAGTTTCTGCCTGTTGAGGGGGTTCGTGCCGTAGAGCAGGGTGTGTGCCTCTGAATGCACGGTCTGCAGCTCCTCCAGGGTGGCCTTCCGTCCTCGGATACACTGTGGGGACACAATGGGAGAGGCCGTTCATATTGCCCGAGTGGTCTCAGGTTCAAGAGAAAACCATCACCCAAAGGAAACTGAACTGTGTAAGTGCAGGAGCAGACGTTATTTGGTTACTGCAGAATACAAAACAAACCACACCTACACAATGTTTCTTAAATTTCCAGGGATGGCTTACTTTAATTGTAACTGAAAAAATGTTTAAAAAGACAATTCCAGCCTTCAATGCTTTAACCTTCACTGTCACCAAATTACTATTCTATTTCCCCACTGCCAAGGTCTGGACTCAAAGCAGAGAGGACTTGCCAAGGGCAGTGGGCTGCCTCCTGAGTTCTCCCTGAGAGGAGGCTGGGGCCCGCATCCCTGAGCATTACCCAGTGCCGGAAAGAAGCAACCTTCCGGGGAGCCCAGAGAAACCTGAATCGGCCTTGGATCTCCATCCACGCCTCTTCATCTGTATTTTTCTTTGGTTTAGGAATTATCCAAATCAGTGCTGTTTTCAGATTTCCCCCAGAAATTAACATAAAATTACTATTCATTAGTTGAGTTACATTTACTTGACCTTATAGCAGGAGGGGTTGGTTTATGAGATGAGTTTAAATTGACATTTTACACTACAGTGGCTTTCTGGGAGTCAGAACACGCCAGAGGCCCCGGTGGTGGTGGTCTGGGGACACCCTGGGCTTCCAGATAGTGTGACACTCCTGAGCACAGAGCCAGGCCAGCAGCTTCTCCTGCTCCTGAAACCTCTGGGGTGATCTGGAACTCCTCAGAATAGGGCAGCTTTTCCAGAGACCGTGCTGTAGCAGGAGGTAAAAGCAGAGGGAGCTGGCTACAAGCTGCCTGTGGCTGTCTCATTGCTGGCCCAGCCTCAGCGTGGAGGGGAGTGAGCTCCCAGGAAAGATCCACTCACTCATCTTTCAGCACCACTGCAAGTTCGACGCAGCAGGGGAGCCCACCCAATGGACACCCCCACAGCCATCTGCCTAGAGTGAGGGGCCTTGACTAGGACACCTGGGATCCTGGTAAGTCCCTTTAACTTCTCCTGTTGGAGGTCAACTCCTATAAACATGTCCCGTCCCAGACCATGTACTTTGCCATCCAGGTCCTATGCTGGGAGCCAGGTATGAGGGGTGGTGACAGAAACACTGTACTCCCTTGGGTTGAGTGACCACACATCACTCTGAGCTAGGAGGTGCAGTTCAAGGTGCACAGCCCACCCAGGTCCCTGAATGAGTGCTGTGTGGAGGCCACATGTTTCCACCCAGTCTCCTCTAGACCGTTGTGCTGATGTGGGTCTGAGCCATGAACCACAGACCGCTCCACTTCTTGGTACCCAAGTCCTGCAGGTCTGGGGACCCACTGCAGTCATTAGGGAGAACAGGTTGGTGCCCCCTATGGTGCCAAAGAAGACGGAAGAGGGTTGAAGCTTTACTCTTCTGTGTTTCATGTCTCACTCCACCTTGCCATATTGGCTTTCCTGGCTGAGAAACTACTGCAGAGGCCTCTGGCCTCCTTGACCCTCTTGGGGACGAGAAGGGAGGGACAGGAAGCTGGGCATGGGGATTTCAGATGCCCCAGCAGCCTTATGGAGAAGAAGCAGGGCCAGGTGGTCTGCAGGAGGAACAGGTTACAGCTGTCTGCTGGGGCAATGCTGCCCCCTAGTGGTGAGCTCTGGCGACACAGAACAGGTGCCAAGCTCCATTCCTCATTAATGGTCATGGTCTTCCCCAGTGGGCACTAGAGGAAAGGATTCTGGACTGGACCTTTGTTCCCCATTCCCCTCCAAAAATCAGGAAAAGATGGGGAACTAAAGTTCCTAAACATCCAGTTTCTGGAGGAGGAGGAAGAGGAGCGGGACCCAAAGGGGGGACTTGAATGGGAAAGCGAGGGGCAGGAGGGGAGGACTTGAGTGGGGAAATGGGGGGACTTGAGTGGGAAAGTGAGACTTGGATGGGGAAGTGAGGGAATTTGCATGGGGAATGGGGGGACTCGAGTAGCGAAGGGGGACTCAAATGAAGCAGTACGGGGACTTGAATGGGGAAGTGAAGGGACTTGAGGGGGGCTCAACAGAGTCCTGGATGTGTTGGCTCTCTGCAACATGCCTGCCCCAGCTGTGGCCCATGTGGCCTGGGCTGTGATGCAGAGATATGGATAGTTTGTCATCAACTGCAGGGCCCTAGCTTCCCAGAGTCACTCTGCAGAGCAGCATGTGCCATCCATGTCCCATCCCTAGTGTTGTGGGATTTCCAATGTGTGGCAGACACAACAGGTCCCACTTAACGGGTACTTGGGGACTGGGACCAGTATCCTAAAGTTTCCTGGGATTTGGGTGCTGCCAGCCCCTCCACAGACAGTACTGTGAGGTGTCCCTGAGCCTGGGCCTCTCCTCATGCACCCACTAATGGCAAGGCCTCCCCGAGAGCTATACTCCTTCATGACGCTGCACTCCAGGGCAAAGAGAGTTGGGTCACTCCGTGGAAACATTTGCCCCATCAGCAGGATGAACGAATGTCCTTCATGTTACTCAGCAGAGCCTTCCTGTCCTTACTGGCTGGGGATCACTGCAGCCACATGTGGGCAGAGACTGGAATCCCAGGCCCTGATGGGCCAGGAGGTGGGGGCCCTCCTTGTCTGAGAGCAAGACTAGCCTTCACTATCCAAGGCAGTGTGGAGACTGAGGACCAGCTGGAACCCTCTCACTCCACTCAGAGAGGGTGGGGGTGCTATGATTGTGAATCAAATTCCAACCAGACAAGACAGGACCAGACTGTGACTCAAATTTCCACACTATTCACAGCCTCGTGGGAACTAGGATTCTGAGGGATACTTCAAACCTGACACTTTCCACATACTGGGAGAAGCTTCAGGAATGTTAAATGAGAGGACACTGAAGGAAAGCAATAAGGCTCATTTCCTGCTGGAGGGCGGCCTGTGTGCATTCTGGGAGCTGATGGGAGAAGAGTCTCAGAATGTTTCCTCCAGAGCAGTGGTCGGCAAACTTATTAGTCAACAGAACCAAATATCAACAGTACAACGATTGAAATTTCTTTTGAGAGCCAAATTTTTTAAACTTAAACTATATAGGTTGGTACAATGTTAGTAACTTAATTAGGGTACTCTTAAGCTGTTCTTTGCTAAAAACTCAAGGGGCCAAAGAGCCGAATGTGGCTCGTGAGCCGCAGTTTGCCAACCACTGCTCCAGGGGAATGTCCAGATGGAAAATAAGAAGTTTCAGCAACAGTGTGCTGAGAGAGAGTGGAACAGCGTGTGATGAGGGTACAGGACAAAGGGTTACAGAGGGACCACGGGGTACAGAGACGGGGGGGGGGGGGGGGGGGGGACAGGCGGATAGAGGGATGCAGGGGATCAGTGGGTACAGGGGATTAGGGTGCAGGATAGAGGTGAGCCTTCCTTCAGGAGGCACTGGGCTTTTAGGAAAATAGCTCTGGGCATCTTCCAGAAGGCAGGCCTGAATATCCCACCCTGCCAGTCCTCATCATGGAAATGCTCATAGGCCCCTTTCCCGCAGGGTCCCACACTCCACACCGGATTCCTGCAGGCTGTGTGGGCCACCCTCTCTGCTGCTCTGGGCAGCCTTACCTCGCATTTGCCTCGAAGGCCAGTCTCCTGTAGCCGAGACCAGATGCTCTGGATCCTGCCGGCATGCTCGGGGTGGCTGTTGCTGTTCCCGCAGGTGCACTGGTGCTTCAGCATCAGTGTGTCGTACACCAGGCCTGCAGGGAGGCAGTGGCAAGACCCTCAGAGCAATAGGGGAGCTAGGCAGAAGGCTGCCCACCACCAGCCCAGAAAGCTACCATCTTGGTGGCAAACCACCACTTCCATAAAAGTGGACAGAGGCTCACATTGTGACCCATCCTGCAGGGACGATTCATTAGAAAAATCAATGCTCATCAGAACCCCTCAACTGCAGTTCAAAGAAACAAAAACCAAGGAGAGGTCAAGAGGGAACTGGGTAATGGCTTTGATGCATATCTGCCCAGAATCAAGCCGACAACATCTCTGGGGTGTGTTACTCTGACTGTGACCAAGTACAGTGTGGTACCCTGCCCAGAATCAAGGTGACAAGACCTCTGGGGTGCGGTACCCTGCTGGGTGGGAGGAGGTAAAGGAAAAAGACATAAAAAGGAGTCCCACCCTAGGACTCCTATCTCCAGCATTAATGGTGTATGTGGCATTAATGTTGCAGAGGACCAGGGAGAGTTTCAGAAATGAGATTTTGGTCTAAATAGCCAAGTCTATCTGCCAGGAACCCACTTCTCTCTTAAGCGGCCCTAGTGGACTATACTGACTGAGGCTCCTAGGTTCAGAAAGACAAGGCATGGTTTCTGTTGTGAGCTGGGCTCCGGGCTCATCTTGGCCAGTGGCCAAGATCTGCTTCCTGCCAGGAAGGGCCACCTGCTGCTCACATGAACCTGTGGAGTCTCTGGTCTCCTTTCTGAGAAGCAATAATTTAATTTCTGGATAATCACTACTTAAGTTTTTCTCTGAATATAGACAATATCCTTCTAAAACTTGACAAAAAGAACGTAACCACACTTAGACATAACTGTGAAAAAAAGTAAGACTTTTTATAAGGATTGTTTGAAGGATGAAACCATTCTGAATTTTGACATTTTTTTGTGTTAATAAATAATTGAAAATAAATATCAGATGAAAACAGTGTTAAGAGCAACCCCTGGCTTCCTTCCGCCCCAGGCCGGTTAAGGCACACTCACAAACCCAGTGCCTCAGACCTCAATGGGTGCCTGGCTCAACCACCCAATTCTCATTCCCGACTTGTGTGTGGAGCCTTTCAGGCAGAAACAAGGTTCCCGCCAGCAGATGTGTCCCCCGGCTCTGGCATGGTGAGGTGGGGCAACACAGGACAGAACAGTAGGAATTGTGACCACTGGCAACAAGGAGGACAGTAATGCAAAGTCCAGGGCCCTAGGTATAGGCTCAAGTTAAGGAAGGGACAGAGGAGAAAGGGCAGGTTCACTGTCCCTGCTGATGATGACAGGGAGGCGTCCAGTCTGCACACCACACTCACGCTGGCCTGGGATGGACCTTTTCCTGAGACCAATGACTCTGAGATGCGAGGGTGGGCTTCTATGCCCAGGAGAAAGCTTCCAGGATCGTAGATGGAGGGCAGGAGATGGGAGCATCAGTGAGCCATCCTTCTGTGTCTCCCCCCCCCCCCCCCAGTGAAAGAGGTTGGGCCAAGTGTGAGGCTGCCCAGGCCTAGAAGCGGCCTGTCTCTGACAACTCGCCCTGAAGCACACCTCACAGACAGACGTCTGTCATATCCCGGCTGCCCTGCTAGGTAGCCTAGGCCCAACACCACCCCTACCCCGGCCCTCCCTGCTCATGTTACCTGTGGTGAACCTCGGTTTGCTGGGGGGCTCCTGCACAGACATGGGGAAGGTGGCAGATGCTGGGGAGGACTGTGCCCGGGACAGAGGCCGGTGGCCGCCGAAGGATACAGGAATGCCAGCGGCCTCCATGGAGGCCTGGTAGTTCCTCAGCTGGTGGATCCGCTGCTGTTCCAGCAGGAGCGCTTGCTAGGGGGAAACACATTTGTTGCTTCAAAGAAACCTCACCTCCCTAAGGGCTCTGCATGTCCTTTTCTCATGTATCATTCATCCCTGTGCCTGCCCTCCCCTCCACCTGCTCACCATCGTGCCATGCACAGTGACACCTGGAGAAACACTGGGGATGGCCACCAGATGCTCCAGCAGCCTTCCTGGTTAATTCTGTTGTTGTCTTGGTTTTGACCAAGAGCACTTGCTCTGCATGCCAGAAACCTGGGCTGAAGAGCCCACCGCAGAAGAGAAATGCTAACTCTACTTCATTTGACACCGTTTCCCTGTCCGAGCCCCTCACTGTCCCACACCCTCACTTGAGGACAGGAACGACTGCTGAAGCAAGGAAGATGTGAGCCATCAGGTTCCTGACACCCAGGGCCCAAGCAGCTGGGGTGACAGGGCCGGGGGTGTGTGGCTGTGCCTCTGAGGAGGTAGAGACCTACATGGACAATCCCAGGACTGATAGCCATCTTTTAGAAAAGAACAAAACAAAAAACAAACAAACAAACAAAAAAAACAGAGTCGAAAGGGATGAATTAAACACATACACCCATGAAAAGGTTTTCTCCCCACAAAAATCCTGTTTCTGTGTGAGGAATGGCTTCTGTAAGAGCACAAATATAACCAGGACCCAAAGCCTAAAAGCCAGCAGGTCCCTGACCTCTGCACTGCTAGCCAGTGGGTATAGAGGACTCTGGAAGGGGCTGTGGAGGCTGCTGGGACAGAGGGCTCTAACCCACGGCTGCAGTGCAGGGGAAGTGCTAGGTCTGTGGAACATGGGGCCACTCAGCCAGGGCCTGAGGGAGACAGACCCCGATGGGATGCTGTGGACAGGCCGAGGTGCCTGTGGGAGGCAGAGTAGAGCCACAGGGAGCGAGGGGCAGGTATGACCCTGGGACCAGACCAGCCCTACCCAAGGAGCTGCTGATCCCTAGGGCCACTTTGGGACAGCAAAGGAAGGAAGGTCCACATCCTACTTTATAGGCTGAGGTGCCAGAGAAAGCAGAGCCTGCCAAATCCTCTGCGAATAGTGCCTCAGTTTTCATGTATAAATCTTGTCATTCTGGAAGGTCTGTTTTCCTGGACCCTGGGGGGAGAGGCAGGCACACCGCAGGGTGGGGGAGAGGGGCGGGGGCAGATGAAGAGCCCTGAGATGCTGGGAGGACCTGAGCAGGAGGCTCCACTGGATTCACACCCAGCTTCACGGCCACCTACAACCAACCAGCCCTCTTCCCAGTACAGATTTTCCAAAATCTCAGACACCATGTCTCATGTTTATATCTGCAAATTGCTACTTGCACCATTGAGTTTCCCTGATGAGGACTTCTGCTAATTATTCTCCAAAGAACATAGAAAATTAGTATTTTTAATGATTTCCTCAGGCTTGGAGTATAAGGCTATTTTTCCTAAATAAATGCTGATGGCTTTATCATCTATAAGATATTTACCCTAAAAATTTACATAAGTACTTTCCAATCTCATTTCCGGTACTAATAACACATTGAATTTCAGTTATAATAAGAAACTTGCTTCCTTCATAACTCCAAGACCTACACAGACCAGGGAATGAAGGCCCATGGGGTCCTGTTGGGCAGGACAGCCAGCCAGGCACTCCTGCTGCTGGAGCTGCACAGCAGAAGACAAGGCTCCCTTTGTTGGAACTTCTCTATTTTAAGTGCCATTTCCACTGCACTTTGCAGAGCAGTGGCTCAGTGCCTGGGTGCTTATAATGTGGCCTGAGAAATGAGAGATGGTCCCCCTCTGAATAAGAAAAAGGAAGAGCACTGTACAAGCAGGCAGCCACAGGGCCCCCCATGAAACCCAGAAAGGGTGAAGGGTGTGGCCTGCCGCCCACCCAGAGGCCTCTAGAGAAATCTAAGGTCCTGTGTGTAACAGGTGGACTCTTTCCCGGTGCTGCTGGGGGAGCTGCGGAGGGCCACATGCCTGGGCTGTCAGAGATGAGTGGCGCACAACTGGATGGCCAGGACATCTAGTGGAGAGAAGGCGGGGACGAGCCAGGGCCTGCACCCTGGACAGAGCTCTGTTGCTGGAGGACAAGATCCAACTCCACCTCGAGAGCGCCCCTTGGCTCGCACGTCTGGCTCATTAGGAGTAAGCAACCTCCGTGGTGGCACTTGGGCCTCTTAACACGAGGTTCTGACTCGTTGCCTGCCTGGTTGACCTAGTGTTCTGTTGATTTGGCAGTTTTATTTTTACTGTAAATTAATAAATCATTCATCAGATATATTCACTAGTCTCTTGTGAGTTTGGTTATTGTGTGCCAGTGCCCAGAACCCTTCCTGGCTCTGGGCACCTGGCTGACACTACTTTTCTGGATCTGCGAGGCTGGCCACTGCTGCCTCCTCAGGCCCCAAAGGCCCTGCCTACCTTTTTGATCAACTAAAACATTAATCCCCCTCCGCAAACCTTTAGCGATTATGCTGAACCCTACTAACACTTGGCTTTATGTTTATCACAGCTTACAGACCTGAAAGAAAACCATCCCTAGGGAGTCTGGGCCAACTCTGGCTGGAAAGTGGGTGCACTGGACAAATGGCCAGTATCTCTGGATATAGATAAGGAAAACAGACATAAGCCCTCAGCCACCTCCCACACCACTAGGGAGTGATGGGTAAAGACCTGGGCTGGCAGGAAGAGGCCCTTCAGTTTCCATTACACACTGGAAACATGGGCCACTATCTGAGGCCAGGCCTGCCCCTTGCCTCCTGCACCGCCAGGCTCCAGTCCACTTTCCCTTTCCTGTCCACCCTTCCTCACCCTGCCTGCCCTGCCCTCCTGGTCACCTGTCTGAAAAGCAGTTCTTGCTCTGTGGGCTGGCGCTGGCTGGGCTCCACTTCCCGCGATGGCTCTGTTTCCTCATCATCACTCTCCAAGGGCTCCTGTTTCACTTGCACTCCAGCCAGCTCCTGGGCCTCCTTCTGCCCGGAGATCCGGTCCAGGTAAGGCTCCTCCAGGAGGGCCTGGTGCTCACGGAGCTCCTCCTCTGTCTCCTCGGGGTGGCTCTCAGGCTGCCGGGCTGGCTCGCTGGGTTTGGGGATAATCTACAGAGGTGAAGGGTGAAGTCAGAGTGACCCAAGGTGACTGAGGTCATCATAAAGGAAAGGTGCATCAAAAAGTCTTCATCTCAGAAACAAAGGGATAGAGGACTCTGGGGGTGAGTAAAGGCCAACAGGCACCAGGCTGGTCACCTATGCAGACCATGGGCGCTGTCCGCGGTGCTGAGAAGTAATATCGAAACCCCAGGCGGGGAAGGAGGCAGACCTGCAATTGATTTGTTTATGAAGCTGTGTTTGTGCCAAGCAAGAGAACAGCAATGACAATCAGACATGTCAACCCACCTCTGTGCCTGGGTGAGAAGGGAAGAGACAATGTCCCCTCCTCCACTGCCACAACTGCTGAGAGAGACATTGCCTGCCTTCTTCCACCCTCAGCCCAATTATTCGTCTGTCTGAGAAATCCCTTTTCTGTGTCCATCCTAGTGTAACTGAGGTCCTGACCTGAAAGAGGACTGGGACTTGTTACCTGAATCTGCTCCTCCTCCTTCTGAGCTTCTCTGCCAGCTGACCAGGCCCTAGAGCCCCCAACCCCGTCCCACTTTCTGCCCCCCCCGCCCTCAGGCCTAAAAAGCCCCCATGTCATGAACTTTGACCTCCAGACCATAGTTATGAGAAGCTGTGTTTTCTGAAAGGGGGTTCACAAACCTGCCTGTGCCATAGGTAGGTCCTAACAGGTCAAACTGAGAATGGGGCACTGGGAGTGACACTTTGGACCTCAGCCAGGCTGGGGTGAAAGGCCAGAGGAGGGGGTGGGTCCAGAAAGAGGAGTGCAAGGCTGCAACAGGGCTGACTCCGGGTGCAGGTATGGACAGAAGCTGGCTACTGCCTAGAAGGATGCAGCTGGCCAGGAAAGAAGGGCAGGGAATAGAACGGCTCAGAGAGGCTGAAATCCAAGTGCCACATGAGAAGGGGATCCAAGTAAGGGTTTAGGAGCCAGCTCAGGACTGGAGATAGCTGTCAGGGACAACTGAGCATTCAGGAAGTTGAAACCTCGAGAAAGCACATGCAAGGCTCATGGAGGCTTGTACTGAGGCCAGCGAGGCCACACACACAAAGGGAAACACAGAGGCCAGTAGAGGAAGAGGGATCCGTCCATCCACTGCCCTGGGGAGGAAGACTAGAGGGCCCTGAGTACCTGCAGGCTCAGAGTCAGTTCTGGGTGTTACGAGGAGGCATACAGGCCACATGCCGTGCTATGAGATGCCCTGCTATGAGATGCCATTCCACAAGCTCCATGAAGATGGCTGTGGGAAGCATCTGCACCAAGTGTGGGGGAAACAGGAGGCTGTGACCTGAGGATGACCCCAAAGGGAGGTAATTTGTATGTTAGGGTAACCCAGGGCCTATTCTAGGCCACTCGGGAGGCCCAGGTCTGATGTGGGGAGTTTCTGAAGACACAGAGCTCTGGTCCCTCCCCAGGGAGGCCAGGGAAAAGTAAATGAGGAGTGGAGAGCCCAGCCAAGGCCCTAGTGCTTGCCTGAGGAAGCTGGCTGAGAAAACAGAGATTAATACTGAAGAGTTAAGAGAGCGGCCATGGGAACATGTACTCAGAGGACAGGATACTCCAATCCTGACTTTCTTCCAAAGTTTTCTTCTAAATTTCAAAACTAGAGAAAACTTTTAAAAATTGTTAAGAAATCTCATATGCCCTTCTCCTATAGATGGATGGACACAGGGATACAGGCAGAGGTTGACTTCTCCTCCCCTGACCTATTTGAGGACTACCAGTGGCTGCGAGTGCAATCTAGCAAATGTGTCAGCATTTCTCTACCCTTCTCCATGGAACCCTGGGAATCCCCCACTTCGGATTCTCACTGATAGTGACTGTCAACTGTGTTGTAGACCACACAAATATTCAAGTTCCCTCAGTTGTCCGGTAATGTCATTTATGGCCTTTTCTGTTCCAAATCGGGTCCAGCTACAGATCATATGTGTTTGGGTGACCTGTCCGAAGTTGCCATGTCTGAAGCATTCAACCAGTGTCTGTAAAAGGCCCCTGGATGTGGTGAGGGATCATCCCCTCTGGTATCTGGGCAGGTGCTGACATAGTTGGGCAGACTCCCTGTGGGGCAGGTGGGCTTCCAGCTGTGGTCAGAGTGCTTCCTATGGACCGCACTCCATCCTTTTTGTCAATGCTGCTTTTGGGCTGAATGTTTAGTTTCACCAGTTCCAGTGAATGTCCTGGGCATCTTTCCAGCTGATGGGCTCTATGGAGTTTCCTCCTTCCTCCTGCAGCTTCAGTCTTAGGGAGCCCCTGAGGCCACACCGCTTCCCCTACCCCCCCAGGCCTGGCAGGCATGGGGTGGGGCGAGGCTGCAGCCCTTGCAGGCAGATGGATGGGTGGCAGCTCTGGGTCATAGAAGGGGAGGAGAAAGGAGTTGGGAGATGGCAAAGGCCCAGCGGCAGCTCTTCCTGGAGAAGCTGGGCAGAGGGGACACAAAGCAGCCTGCTCACAGCAGACATCCAGGGCTTCCTCTGCCATCCTCTCAGCTTCCTTGGGAAATGAGGCATTCAAGCAGAGCCTGCCAGGCCCTCCAGAGTAGTTAGGACATCCAGAGCTTCCATGAGAGCCCAGGTCCCTGGAGCTCACTTCACAAACTGAGTTTGACCTGAGGACTGAGGGTGCCTAGGAGGGATGTCGCCAGAGCAGTGGCACGTGGCTTGCATCAGAAGCTTCCCTGTGTTGCAGGAGTGATGCAGGACTGTGTCCACTCAGCAGTGATGCAGGAGCTTGTGCGGCCAGCCTCCTTGGGCCGAGGCCACTGTCTGGCCCCCTGTCGCTGACATGCAGCTCTGCTTCCCACTGACCGCTGTGGCCAGGCCATATGGCAGAGCCAGCAGCAGGAGGGGCAGTGGCAGGCAAACGTGCTGGAGGAAACACTGGCAGAGAATCGGCAGCAAACTGGACGAACAAGTTAGCTTTGTCTCCTAGTGGCCTTTGGACCTTAGAAGCCCTCATTTATCAATTACATGAAAACAAATGCAACTCCAAATTAGAGCAACACATTTTCTAAAAGCCAGACTGGAGTTCCGAGCCAAAGTCAACTGGTAAGCAGCCCATTTTTAAAGATTATTGGCCGTGCTCATAATTAGACAACACAAATAAACGAGATCCAGTTTTCATATTCAATATTGGGAAGGTCGGGTGAAAGGGAAACTCATCCATCCCAGCTCTACAGGATTTGGGCGCATGTGGAATTCAGCAACCACAGACAGAACTACTGTCACAGCAAAGGCAGCTTCTCCAGTTGTCAAGGTGCCTTAAGAATTCTTTCCTGCCAAAACCAGTTTGGTTCAGTGGATAGAGCGTCGGGCTGTAGACTGAAGGGTAATGGGTTCGATTCCGGTCAAGGGCATGTACCTTGGTTGCGGGCATGTCCCCAGTAGGGGGTGTTCAGGAGGCAGCTGATGGATGACTCTCTCATTGATGTTTCTAACTATCTCTCTCCCTTCCTCTCTGTAAAAAAAATCAATAAAATATATTTAAAAAAAAGAAAAAGAATTCTTTCCTAACAGAGAAAAAGCACTTCTGTCCCTGTACCTGCTGCTCACCTTACACAGACAGACCACACCCGAGGCCATTCTCAGACGCTCCCAGACGCCCCACTCCCCTTTGATGGCAAACATTCTCCTAAAAGTCCCTTCACCCATTAAACACACTGCGTGCAAGGCCATGGGTATCCACAGGGAGGCTGGCACACAGCTGGACAGTAGCGCTGGGCACCCACAGGGAGGCCCACATACCGCTGGAGAGCAGTGGTGATAGCCCCGGTGAACACAGCCTGTTCCTAGGTCCGTCTTTCCTGCTTCACAGGCTTTCTCAGCCAATGGGCCATTCTCTGGAAACCACAGCAGCCCCAGTGGGCTGCTGAAAGTGCAGCAATTGGGAAGGGCTGACCTCTCTCCAAGGGTGACATCCTTGAAGCAACTGCCCACCAAGGCTGAATGACAGCAGACCATGCAGGGAAGGCCACCACCCGCATGCATAGGGCACAGGGCTGCAGGGAGGGAGCCCTGCCAGGCCCTGGGCTCTAGTGCCATCAGATAATGAGGTTTAGGAACAGCCTGCTCCAAGATGAAGGGCAGAGACATCAGTGCCAGACGGTACAGATACGAGATTGGCTCCCTGAGCGCCGCGAGAACAGTGTATAAACATGTCAGTCACCTGTCATTCTCACCATCAGTCAGTCATGTAGCAGAATCAGGGAGATTACCCAGCTTACAAGTCGCTCTGTTCAGGAACATATCACCTGTGAATAGGTGTTTCCTGTCTTCTGAGCCTCCTACCATGACACTTGGATAATGACATAACAAAATGAAGAAGCCAAGCTGGCATCAGATGGAGAAATGTCAAGTTCCCACACAGTGAGGAGTCCCTTTCCTGTCCCATCAGAGATGGGCTCAGGGCCTGCCCACTGCTGACTGCTTTGTCCTGCCTGGCTGGGAGAGCCTGTGGGGTGGGGAATCTGCGGGTGGGGTCCAAGCCTAATACCTAGTGCCTGGTGGGTAGAGGGGTCTGGGCTTGGCTGCCCTGCGCAGCTGGCCATTCAGGAGGAAACGCCCTCAGCCCTGTCAGGGCAAACACACTAGAGTGGACTGGGGCTATGTGGCTGCCACCTCCACCAGTGAACCCTGTGGGGGCTGAGCCGGATTCAGTGGAGGAGCAGCCCCAAAAGACATGATGACATTTCAACAAGCAACTCTTGACAAAACCACACCAGCACCCGCTCTCGGCAGGCACTGTGCCAGGCACCTGGGTCCACCAGGGTTCACAGATCACATCCTTGTGGGCTGACATGCCAGGAGGAAACAGAGATAGGAATATGAAACATGAGGAATGGGTATAGTCACTGCAGACAGGAGGGTGGGCACCGTAACAGGATGGGGCTGGGAGGCAGTTCTAACTGGCATGGGGAACTCATGAGTGATGTTTGGGACAAGACTCAGAGGAGCAAACCTCGGGAGTGTGGAGTCTTCTTTGAAGACCAGTCTCCGTGCCCAAATCCCAACTGGGCTGGGAATGCTGGCTGACAGAGGAACAGGGCTGGCTGCACTTAGCGGCTCGGCCCCGGGGAGGGGGTCTTCTCTCCTCTTGCTCCATCTTCACACTCATGCGGACCCTTCCAGATCTTGTTCCTAATCCCCTCCCCTCCACTCTTTCATTCCTTAGGGAGGCAGAGACAAGCCTAACTGTGTGTAACGGGTGGAGGATCATTGACTGGGGTCTCCCTGAATGAGGGGATGCAACCAGGAAAGAGACACATTGAGAATCAAGTCTGTCCATCCCCAAATCTGCAAGTTCCCCTCAGAAATCACCAAAGCTACCTTCTCTTACCTTACCCACTTCTGTCTTAGCAGCTTTGAGAGGTAACTCACATACCAGAGTTCACACTTTTGAACTGTGTAAGTCACTAGTCATTTATATTAACAGAGTTGTGCAACCATCATGTATCTTAGAACACTTTCAATCATTTCAGAAAGAAATGCCATTCCCACTGGCAGTCACCCCCCGCCACTTCCCACCCCGCCTAGGGTGCCCATCAATCACCAATCTGCCTGCCCGTCTGATGTTCTACCCACATCGAATTACACAACCTGTGGGCTTTTCTGTCTGGCTTCTCTCACTCAGCACTATGTTTTCAGGGCTGAGTGATGCACCAAGGCCTGTCTGTGCCCATTCTGTTTGACTGCCATCTGGGCAGTCCTGCTGTTGGTGTGCAAGCCTTTGTGTGGATATATGTTGTCAACTCTCTTGGGTGCAAGCCTAGCAGTGGGCCTGCTGGGTCTAATGGCAACTCTGTTAACCTTTTTGAGGAAATGCTGGACTGCCTTCCACAGGTTCATCTCATTCTTTCCTATTAAAATATGCTTTCTTTCAAATATTGGCATTTGAAAAACTACTCAAAATTGCTTTTTCTATTTTACTTACTAAAGAGCAACAACACCCTTTCCCACCACTTCCTGCTGTGAGTGGTGCCGCCATAACTCTAGGGACTGTGCAGGTGTGCAGGCCTCTGTGAGCTGGCCTGGGGGTAGCCCCCTAGAGGATGTTATTCCAATGGACAAGTATACTGCAAGGGTAGAGTTACCCCAGACACGTGCTTCTGGGGACTCCAGGCCACTATAACGTTGGGGACTTTCTGTTTAGTGTTTGCTTAAAGAAGATAATATGCTTGAGAAAAAAGTCTTGCCTGGCTGGCATGGCTAAGTGGCTGAGCACTGACCTATGGACTAGGTTCAATTCCCTATCAGGGCATATGCCCAGGTTGTAGGCTCGATCCCCAGTGTGGGGAGTGCAGGAGGCAACCAATCAATAATTGTCTCATCATTGATGTTTCTATTTCTTTCCCCCTTCATCTATGAAATCAATAAAAACATATTTAAAAAGCAAAAAGTGTTGGCCGAGTGGAATTTGCCACGCAGTGATGCAAACACTTCACATACATAACACTGACCAGGAACTCGGGAATTGGCCCTGCCCACTTCTGTCATCCCCTGCACGAACAATTCCCCCAAGTTCCAGCTGCACACAAGCCCATCCCTGCCAAGTGTGGGGAAGCTTGAGACCTACTATTTCTCCTGTGGCCCCTGGCTGTTCAAGGTCAGAAAGGGGCAGCTGCCAGATGGCAAAGCTGAGGAAAGAGCTAACAGACGTGAGGCCGCAAAGCACAAAGCACAGACCCACCTTGTTCATGTGCAGCTGCTGCTGCTGAAACTGTTGTTTGTGTTTCTCCAGAAACTGCTGGTGCTGCTGCTGGATGACCAGGTGTTGCAGGGCCTGGGCGTTCTGGGGCAGCGGAGCCGATTGTGTGCGCCCCAGTGGACGGTGCTGCCTCAGCTTGTGGATGGAGGGGGATACCCGGTCTGTGCCAACCAGAGACTGTGCGTGCAGGGGCAGGGCGCCCAGGCCTGAAAGATACCAGTCTGAAGATAACATGGAGGAAAATAGCAGAGGGGAAGAGGAAGAAGAGAGGAGGGGAGAAAGTTGTTGAGTGAGTGACAGAGACACCATGAGCTGTAGCTGCCAGTCCAGGCGCCTCCTCCCTGGAGCCCACCGGGTGTGATTCCAGGCACATGCCAAGCATCCTGAGCTGTCACTTGGAGGGTACTGTCTCTGACACCGAGGTTAATGCCATCAACAGGTGTTCTGGCTATGTCTGCACTTGAATTTCAATTTAAATTGCAACCTCTCTGTGAACCAGGAAGTTTAACATTTTTCCTTCTGTAGGCTTGTCCTCCATCTGGTCTTTCTTTTGCAAATTGTTGTTTAGGTCATTGACCATTTTTCCAAGGTTCTATGGCAAAAAGGTCTAACAAACCCCTTCTCCTGCACCTGGGTATATCCTCCTGGCAACCTGAGGCAAACAAACATTAAACATTGCTCAGGCTGAAAATGATCCTGGGTCAAGGATGTCCGAGCAGGAGAAATGGTAAATGAACTGAGCACACCATCTCCTGCTGCCCTGTTAGTGACCAGAAGGCTAAAATAACCCGCCAGGTACCCACACCTGCCCCACTTGGCCTTCTTCTCACCTATTCACCTGCCGAGTCCTACCTCAGGTCTCAAGCAGCGATGATTGTTTCCAGGAAGCCTTCCCTAAAGCTCACCTGCCCTAGCACCCAGCCTCCTGCACACACCCAACTACCAAGTTCTGGGGCCCATCTCCCAGGATCTGGCTGGTAAGACAGAAAGTTCGGTTCACTGGCCACTCGAGCATTGTGCTCAGCTGTGTGGCCAGACCAGGCAGTGCCCATGGTTCTGTGTGGAGCTGCAGAAACAAGCCAGGACTCTGCAAACAGTTTCCTTCTCGCCTGGAAATGACCCCAATTTCCATGCACTGCACCAGCTAGCTGCTCAAACTCAGCCTCTGGGAACACTGGGACTATGCTCTTTCCAAGAGTAATGATACTGTGTGCAGAAAGCCTAATAAAATGAAAACGTACGAGCCATAGGGCCTATGGGGAAGGGGACCCAGAGCCCGAGACCCTCCACCTTGGTTGCTCTCTGACCCAGTTAGACACTCCTCTCACAGGGGCCTGTTTGCAGAGCACTTGTGAGTGGAGCTGGTATAACTTGGTCAGTCTGTCCAACGAGATCATCAGCAAGGAGGTAGGTCTGTGGGCCGACCACTCAGGGGGACTTAGATACACTGACATAGGAAACTTGCAGTGACACCTTCTGGGTCCTGCTCAGACATAGCCACCTCAGACACCATGGCTCTCACTGGGCTCAGTCACAAGGATATTTACTGTGCTTATGCTATCTGCTAGGCATTGCAGACTGTGTGGGTGCTGGGAGAGAGAGGATGGCAGAGCTGTAGGAAAATGCAAGGTCTGGGCCCCGGGAGGGAAGCAGGACAAACGTAGCTGACATAGAATGAGCACATAGGAGCAGGACAGGGGCACAGGAGCTGGCCTCATGGAAAAGGGAGCTTTGGGAAAACGACAGGGCTTCCAGAATCACCCTGCAGGCCAGCCAGTGAGGAGTAAAACTAGATAGTGGTGAGCTGCATGGGAGGAAGAGGCCCGGAGGCCTGGCACAGCCCATCTCCAGCTGAGAGCTGGGGCCTCACTGCAGCCAGCGGCCCAGAGCTTTCTGTGCCATGGAAATGGTCCAGGTCGCACTGCACCAGCAGCCATAGGAACACTCGCTAGGCCTCACAGGTGACCCGAGTGCTTTTAATTTTCAATTTCAATGTTAATGGCCAACTGTGGCTGGTGCTCCTGCACTGGACAGCACTGTGCTGCACAATGGGGGGACTTCCCAGACCCTGAGGGGACCCTAGTGGCAGCTAGGCAGGATAGCAGTCAGGAGGTGTCTTCTCACAGGGCCCAGGGGTCCTAGAAGAACACGACCCGAGCCCAGGCCAGCCAGTGACTCTAAGGAACAAGTGCTTAGAGGGACAAACAAACACAAAACAGGAAAACCAAACCAAACCCACATGTAGACCCGCACGCGCCACATTTGGACTCTGGCCTGCAGGCACCTGCATTTCCCACTGAGGTTGGGGGTCAGAGATTTGGAGGTGAAGCCCTAATATTGCTGTAGATTTTACTTCTGAACAGAGAGAGATTCGAGAAGTCAGATATGAAACTAAGGATGATACCCAGAGGAGGACGGGTGACCACAGTCCCCACATGTCTGGCGATCCTTAGTGACTCTGTACACCATCACTGCTATGAAAACTCCACCACAGATTTTCCACTTTTTCCTAAATACTACCATCCTTCAGATGGGGCACCGTTTTAATAAAATGTACTGTTGATAGAAATTGACTGTCCTCCCAAGTCAGGTCTGTGTTTCTGCCACTTGCTCAGCTTGACCCAGAAGAGCCTCAACCTCCTCTTGAGAGGGAAGGACCTGTAACTGGCATGTCACCCACCCAGTTCTGTGAGGGAGACATGGTGCATCATGTCATATGCCCGGACATGGGGGAAGTGAGGGAAACACAGGGTGGAACAGGTTTCCTTGCCGGGTTCTGTGAGCTGGCAAGGCCTGATGCCATGCAGAGCGCTTACCTGTGACGAGGGGCGTCTGTGTGGGTGGCTGCTCCAGTAAGACCATGTGCTGCAGGAGAGGGTTGTGAGCTGCCCCGCCGTCCCGCTCCAGGGGCGCCGTGCTCAGGTAGGGCGTGAGGTGGGTGCCGGGAAAGAGGGAGAGCCGCTGTTGCAGGGCTGGGAGAGCCAGTCTCTCGGCTTCCTGCTGGCCTGCTGCCCCCTGGAGAGGCACAACTGGTAATGTCCAGGCTGCGTGCCTGTGACAGCTGCCCCGCACCACACAGACCCTTGGAAGTCTACTTACAGCAGAAGGGCCGGTGGCAGGAAGTCCCAGTGTGATGTTGGGCAAGGATGGCGATGTGTAGAGGGGAAGTGGGGCCACGGAGCCTTCCCGAGTCACCAGTCTGTGTGCCAAGCTGGTCTGGGGACAGAACACAAGACGACCGTCAGACAGAATCTGCTCTGGCCAAGTGTGGGCAACCACACCAAGGAAAGGACAACAGAAAACACTTCTGGGCAGACCATGCCGAGAATATAAAGACGTATTAAGAGATTATAGCATGTAGGTGAGTGTAACATTTCAGAGTAGGCAGCAAGCATGATACCATAGATTCATGATCCACCAAATTCTCATTTTTCTTCAAATTTCTTACTCATGGCAAAACTACAAGAAGAAAACCTAGGACAACGTATTTTAAAATATATTCTTAGAGTTGGAAATGTCTTTCCAAATATAACATCAGAGGCAGAAACCAAAGAGGAAACTAAAGATAAAAAAAAAACACAAACCCTCACATGAAAGGGAAAAAATGGTGATGATAATAGTAGCAAAATACAGGACAAAAAAAGGTTAATATATAAAGAGCTCACAAATCAAAAGCAGGCTCGTTTATACATGTGGCATCAGTTTGGGAGAGGCTTGAAGTTACTTGGAATCTTGTTCGTGATATGATGTTAAGTTAGAAAAATAAGTTACAAAATCTTGCACTTTTTAAAAATAAGACAGACTATTTAAGTGTACAGCTAAAGTGAGGACGAGAAGGGCAGTTAGAAAAGGATGAGCAGTCTGCAAGGAGTTGAAGTACTGAGATATTTAACATCTTTTGCTTCTAGAATAAACCTTCTTTGATAAAAAGGACTGTTTATTCACCAGCACATCCTTGCACAGCAGATACTCAGCAAAAGTGCACTGAGTCAATGAGCAAACCACCAACAGGTGACTTTGCCATGAGGCACGAAGGTGGGAGTGGCAGAAGTCTGCAAGATGGAAAATAACATAAGGGATGAACATCCTGACTTCCTTCTATCCTTCCCACAGTGAACATAATCAAGGATAAGAACCATTTCACTTCCAGGGAAAAACCTATGGACTGAAAGCTGTTACACGTTACTACAGAAAGCGGCTATTGTCTGCAGCCCTGCCGGCCTGCGGGGACCAGTGCCCACTCTCAGAGCCCATGTGTGGACTCAGAGAGTGGGCACTTGCAGATTCCCCAGGTGGCTATGTTGATGGTGTCATATTTTGGTGTCATCAAGAAACATATACTTTGTTCCTGTGCTAAAGGCAGAAGAGGATGGAACGGCTTTCCTCATGAGGAAGGAAGCAGCATGTCTTGTTCTAGAGACTGGCTGAAGCTACCTGTACAGCTACCACAGTCACTCATGAGTCAATAATACAGTAACGATGGAAGGACGACTGTGAAAGCGCTCTTCCCACACAAAACAATTTTGTTAAAAGTAAAATACTAACAGGCTATGTTTTAGGGACCATGACTGTGACTGCCAAGGAAACCGTGGCTCCACTGAACTGAGATTCTCCAGGAACGAAGAGATGTTCTAATGTTTCCAAGGTTGGAAGTTCCTCTTTATAACCAAGACTATTTTTTTTTTTTTTTTTACCTAAGTTATTTTTAGAAATAAAGCTGCATAAGAATTACTTGGTAGGTAGACTTGCCCGCATTTTCAGTGTCAATGTCTCTATCAGCTTCTCAGTTCTGTGGCACCGCCCTGCCAGCCACACCCCAATCACAGGCACACCCTAGTCACAGGCATGCCTCAATCACACCTAGCCTTCTGAACGGATGGAGCCGCTGACTGTGGCACAGGGAGCCCTACATCCTCTGTATAAAAGGGGACAGGATGTAGTGAGGCTGAGCTCCACGCTGTCCAAGGGTCCCCTGCCTACCTCCCACACAAGGATTCCACAACCACCTCTGGACTGGGAAGCCTCTGTGCCTCTCAGGGAACTGTCAATCCTAAAAAGGACATCTACATACCATCACATTTTCCAAGTCTCCCCTGCCAGTACTCTTAACATTTCTTGTGAACCCTCCTACATCTTCTAGTAATTTGCACTAATGTGTGACTTGGAAAAATTAACACATACTTTAAACCGGAACCATATAGACTCACCCAAATAAGGCATCCCTATAACATGAAGCATTAGATACATACCTGCCCACCTATAATAACAACCAGGGCCCGGGATCGCTATTGCCCACGTGATGATCCTGACATCTCGTCCAGGAAGCAATTTCTAGGCTGAGCTCTACACAACTTCAGGCTGCAATGAGCTATGACCTGAACACCCAAGGGGACTCTCAAAACTTTCTATAATCTAAATAAGCACTTAAATAGCAGGTTGAAAAGAAAAGGTCATAAAAGAAAGAGATCTATAAAAGAAAAAGATGAGAAAATGGGGATTAAGCAAATTAAGCAGTAATCTTGGTTTCCAAAAATCTGCTTACAGATAAAGTGTCTAGAACTCTGTCAGCCCTTTCTTTGGAAGGGCTGGATTCATTTCTAACCATTTAAGGAGGAAAGTAAGAAGCTATGTCTAATAAAGTATGGCCTCCTGTCAATTAGAACACAGAACCCACTCAGTAGAGCTGTCTGGGCAGACGGTGCTTCTGGCTCAGTTTGCCAGACACTCAATGCTGAGGAGGTTCCCCACATGGATCCCACCCACATCCCCACTCAGCAAGTGCGAAGTTCTCTGCTCAAGTCTGGCCCACCTGACTACCTCTCCTCACCAACATGAGAAGCTGGGAGAAGCAGGCCCTTGGCTGGACTCTGGCCCTAAGTCCCGAGCCTGCAAAGGGCTGGGGCAAGAGAGGCGCTCCAGAGACACTTGGGGGATAAATGGAGGGGAATGAATGTAAGAGCAAAGGTCTTGGAACTTACTGTTGTAAAGTCGCTCTGACTCAGGTCAGGTCAAGGGAACAGCACCTGTGCAGCTGGCCCTGGGACCCTCCACCTGGCTGAAGAAGCCATCACCTTTTCTCCCAGGAGGTCCTCCTTCCCTCTCAGCCAACCCCTGCACCTGACGTTCCCTCCAAGTGATCCCAGAACCTTCTCTGTACCCAATTCGTGATGCTGACACCTTAACTATCTCCCAGTATGGTTCCATCCAGTGTTCCTGACACAAGTACATGTGCCTTGTTGGCAACATTTTAAGTTGTCTCAATACATAACAAGTATTTTTGTTTTTGTTGTTAAAACTCACCAGAGGATATTTTTCCATTGTTTTTTAGAGAGAGTGGAAGGGAGGGGGAAAGACAGATAAGAAAACATCAACGTGAGAGAGATTCTTCTAGTGGTTGCTTTTCGAATGCGCCCTGATCAGGACCGGAGATCAAGTCTGCAACCAAGGTGTGTCCTTGACCGGAATTGAACCTGGGACTCTTCAGTCTGCAGGTTGATGCTCTATCCACTAAGCCAAACCAGCTAGAGCCACAAAAAATATTTTAATTCCCATCCAGCCAAGATTCCAATGGGCTCCTGTTCCCAACCAGCATGCAGAGCCCTGTGCCATGAGGTTATGGGCAGCTGGCACCATTGGCATGCAGTTCATGTGGAGGATGGACCTAATGTGCTCAGAAGAGCCCAGGAGGAAAGAGGGGGTGCAGAAATGTTCTTTGACCACGACTCTCGTATTGGGAACTCCTGAGTCCCTATATAAAGGAGGTCGAATGATGAGTGGCAAGTGGACAATGAAGTCCACATCAGTGCTCTGCAGGCTGCCTCATTCCTCAATTTCCCTCACCACGACCTGGACAGTTCAGTCTGAAGGATAACTGTAAGATGCACTCACTTCAAACAAATCAGCTCTTTGAATCTCCCTCAGGGCCTTAAGGAAACAAATAGAAAGCGGGGCACTGACCTCGGATGGGATGCTGGGGACGGTAGGTGCGATTCCATTCTCCGTGCTGACGCTCCCGGAGCTGTTGTTAGGCGAGCTGGGTGCGGAGCCAGGGGCACTGCTGCATGCAGAGTCTGTAGTGGAAAGACATGTCGTCATCCGCACTCGCTCAAGTCCCAGGAAAGTCATGGGACTCATTTACTGAGGCCTGGGCTGCTGCTCACCAGTGTATGGGCAAACTCCAGCAGGAGAGAACATGACCAGGGTCCCTAAAGAGCATTGTGCAGCCCACTCCCCATTTTGTTTTGCTAATCTTTCAGTTCTGTGGACCCCACACCTGAGACTTTTGAGCTGTACACATTATCAATTTTATTTCTCTTTTGTGTTTTAAGATGATCTTAAAGACCAGAAAGACAAGCCCTTGGACATTAACTAATACTCTAAACAAAAGGCCAGGAAACACACAAGCCCAATGATGAGAGCAGGGAAAGGTTACTTGTCACTAGGAAAGCCACACACCATTAATGTTCACTTTGAACACATCCTCTCATCCTTCCTGAGTTACATTGAGGTCCAAGAAAAGTAGAGCTTGTAGTTTCTGCGACTGATCTGGGTTATGTGGAAACACACACTACAGCTTGTATAAGTAACTGTGAAGGCACAGTGGCTGCACGCTGCTCATAGGGAGAAGGCTCCATTCGCTGTGTGATAGAGGAGAGGAAGGTATTCTGTCAAGTTGGCCTTCTGAGTTCCAGGGGAGCAGCAATGAACACAGGACTTGCTTTCTCTGCCCCAACCTATGACCACGGCCACCACCAGGTCCTGTCTGCTGGGAAATCAGCTATGGTCAGAGCACGGGCCCCTCCAGCCACCTGGGGCCCTGTGCTGCCCAGGACACCTGCACCTGTCCCTCAAGTTTTTTCCTGGCCTGTGCAGCTTCCCTCATGTCCTGGCCCAGGTTCCTTTGGGTGCTTTCTCTATGAAACACCTCAGTGTCAATCAGGAGTTGCACACCCAGTCTGCTACTTGTCTTACAGTGATGGTCAGGTCTCCTGAATTAGATCGAAGCTCCTGGGCAGCGAGGACCAGCCAGGTCTTACAGTAGCATCAGCAGTCATGACTGACATGACATTCACTCTAATGCTCAGAAGGAAGCCTTGAGACAATTCCATCTCTCCAACAGTGTGACTAGAAATAAATGCTGGCCTTAGAGCTGGCCCTGACCAAGATGCTGCTCAGAGGATACCAGGCTGTGTCCATGAGCACACAAGTGCTTTAACATAACGGGATTCTTTAATTTGCACAGAAGTGTCAAGCTGGTGAAACCAAGAGGGACTTCAGACGTTTCTTCATTTCTTTAAATGAGGCCTCCACACTAGAACAACCAGTGGATAGACCCCACATTGAAAAAGGAAGACAAAGACAAAAATGGGTCCCCAGATTCTTTAACACTAATCCACAGATATGTGGAGACAGGCTCTAGGCTGGGTTTCCCCTGGGCCAAGGAATCTCAAGAGCAGCTGGGAAGGTTGCCAGGCATTTATACTGAAGGTATTGGGACTCAGATTGTGGGATGTGGCTGCTCACATAGGGAGGACCAATGCCAAAGGCCCCCTCCTGCTCCAGAGAGTCTTGGTTTTCAATTCAAACCCTGTACTTGGTGCAAATGCTGCCCTCAACCCCCAACCCCTCCCACACATATACCCATTTCCAGGCCACCTCTAAGCAACTTCTTTGTCCTGTGCTTTCAGGAATGTAGACATGCGCCCTTATGACATGGTGCACCCCCAGGAAATGGGGTGTGCCCACAGGATGAGGGGGTGTGTCTTGGGTCAGGGGTGTATCTCGAGGTGGGGTATATCTTGGATAGGGGACTCACTCCTATAAGGGGGTGCTCCTGAGGATTGGAGTGTACCAAGGGACCTGGAGTACATCCCTGTGAAGGGGTGGGCCCTTGGAAAGGGTCTCTGCCCAGTGGGTATATTCTGTGTCTCCACCACTAGGTGGTACCCTTTTCTCTTCTGTCTACCTGCTGGCCCCATGCTGAACCATTTTGATGCTCGAGTGTAGGGGTGTCGAACTCAATCAGAGAAGGGGCCAAAATCTAAAATCCAGCCTAAATCGCGGGCCGAATGGTTTACTGAACAGTCATAAACTGTCATTGTGATGGAAACGCAGCGGAGTGCAGTGATGACAGCGCGGTGCGGGCCACATTGCAAGGCCTGGCGGGACGGATTTGGCCCGCGGGCCTTGTGTTTGACACATGTGCTCTAGTGGTTCTGGCATTGGAGCAGGTCAGACACGTGTGACTGCCCACTAACAGGGCAGAATGGATTAAAACCTCACCTTCAGAGTAACCTCAATCTGAATCCGCGCAGAACTCTCCTGCCCTGTTAGCTTTGTTGTGCTCCCTGTGCATAGTGACTCATGCTGGAGCAAGAACGGGTGTGCAGGGTGGGCTTCAGCCTCAGAACTGCTAAAGAGCCTCATGGAGAAGGTGGTGCTGGGTTGGTGGGCAGGCAGTGGGGTTTAAACTTTCCTCTAACATACCTGTGACATCCAAGGGACGCTTTTTTAGAGCAGTGACCACAGGCCCATCTTTCCTGCGCAACAGGGGGCTGCTCCGTCTCTCAGCCACTTTCTGCTTTAGCCGGGACCGTAATTTCAGATTGGGTTCTGAAGCTGCATGAAAAGGAGATGTCATTACAGCAAGGCAGACACAACCTGGGTCAGGGTTATTTTGTGGTGGTTTAAAAATCTGCACACTGGGTAAATATTTGCTTAACAGCTGAGTGAAGGCACTATTCTGAGGCCTTGGGCAGAGTATTTTCAATCAAACAGTGAGTAAAACACATCTGATGCCTATATTTCTTCACATATAGGATTATAAACTTGTGTCAGTGAAGTCATAAAAAATAATGTCGCTGTGCCTTACCAGCAGAGGGGAGGAAAACAGAACTGGGTTTTTGGGGCTTTGGCCCATGGGCATTATCCTGACCTTACATACTTTCCTGCTCACCTGCCATGTATCACAAACCCAGAAGTAAGCTGCCCGCTGGAGCACCTGTGTACTCTGTGAATGGCTGACATGAGGGTACTAACACCAAGCCAAACCACCCTGGGATGAGGGTTAACCAAGCCAGGTCTCAACATCCTAGTTCACCTGCACACAGGCAACAGGTGTTTCGGCTTTGTTTGGTTTTTATTCACAGCTCTGCTAGTGTGGACAGAGCCATTTGCAAACCTGCCACTCTGCCCATGGTGTTTCCTAAGTCTGCTGTACCTAAAACCCAGGCCACCCCCTGACCAATCAGGTATTAATCTTTATACGCTCATGAAATGGTGCCTCTATTATAACATTAGCTGAAAAACAGAGTTACAGGACAAAGTGCAGAGCAGGTATTTTGTTAACAAAAAGACAGCTATACACACACACCACACACACACACACACCCAACACACAGGCTCTAAAATGTCTGCAGATAAACTACTGGCAGTAGCTGCCTTGGGAAATAAGACTCAGGGTGCGTACTTCTGTGTGTTAATTTAATACCAGCATGATTTATTTATGTAATTTTTCATTTTAAAAAATGTACTCTATGTGATGCTCTCCTAAACCCCCTGCCATACTCAACTGGGCTCAGGGCAGCTTTCCCACTGAACAGTGAAACCTGCAGATTTGAAAAGATCATCACAAGATCTCCATCTCACTGGGCACTTTTCATAATGAAAAGAGTTCAAGTCTGGCAGGTGTCAGTTTGAAGGCTGAACACAGAACAAGGTGTGAACCAGTGTACAAGCTGCCTAGTATTTAACAACACTGGCTATCTCTAGGAGTTTCTTTGGAAAAGTACAACAAAGTCGTCTTTAAAACCTTCTGGATACACTCATGCCCATTTTTTAAGAGCAATTGGAGGATGGACCCCAGACCCTGACAGACACTTCTTTCTGTCTAGCTGGTGGACACTCATTTTAGGGGAAACTCAAGATCAGTCTTGATAGATGATGAGTGAGAACCATACCTTCAAAGTGAAGAGGAAAGGACAGAAGCCCCACATCCACCTTCAGCATTAAAGATTTTACACTTGTTTGTAGGACCCCACCTCTGGCTGGGAGGGGTTTCAACATCTAGTCAAGGCTCTGGGGTCAGCACCAGGGGCATGGCCATACTGCTGTGGCCCATTTCTCTCACACACTTCGACTGCCAGTCAAATCTCGCTGGGGCTGAGCTTCAACCTCCCTCCCTGCAACTTCCAGGTCTGCACCCTGGTCTGGCCCATCTCTGGGCACAGCTCCACCTACTGAGAAGCACCCCCCCTCCATCTCAGTCTTAGGGTGGGCTGGCAGGTGAGCCCCCAGCCCCAATGCCTCATCATTGAGGTAAAAGACCTGGGTTGTGACTGCTTTAAAACATTTCTGTCCTGAATTAACTGAAATCTTCTAAATAACACAAAGTTTGTTTTTACAAAGACACAGCTGCACAGCAGACTATTCCCATTAAGCAGGTGTCCCCACATTACCCACACTGCCTTGCGGCCCAGATTCTGATGCCATTCAGGCCCTGGCCTCCTGGAGACAGAGCTCTGGATGGTTCTCCTACCCTAGCCCTGCCCTTCCTCAGACCCAGTGCACTGCCCATGGCCACTCTCATCTTAGACACCTCTGCCTGCTTAAATCACCAATACTGCAGAAAGCCCAAAAGGCCCGGTACCCTATTTACATTTGTGACAGAGGTGTTGCTCCCCTCTGGCTTGTTACAAAGGTGCTGCTCAAACCCCTGAGACCTCCCCCTGCAATGTCCCTGATTTCTTTCTCATACAGCTTTCCCCCCAACTCCAGCACCCCAACCACCTCCGCTCATGGGCTCTGCCCAGATGCAGTACTGAGAGCCAACAATAAGAAGATCTCAAGGCCCATCACAGGAGCAGCTGTGCTCCCACATCCACCAGGGGACACTGTAGGCTGGGCAAAGTACAGCACACCCCCAAAAGAAGAGTACGTTTGCATGTTTACAAATGAGCTTGAGCCTTAAAAAGTATGTGCATATATATGACCTTCATGCTTTTGGTATGAATCAATAGGAATACTTCAGAATATTGTTTAAAATGATGCTCTAATAAAGAAGAACCTATCGATATTTAAAATTAGCAAGGGCTTCCTGTTAGTGCCAGGTGGACTTAGGGATGTGGGGGGTGCAGGTGCAGGGCCCGCCCCATCCTCACACCAGCAGACAGGGACACTGACCTGTTTTTCTGAGAGGGAAGTCGTCTTTGGCATCGTACATGCCCAGGACCGGGTGGTTGTAGGAGGCCGACACACCGCTCTGGGGTGGGGAGCTCTGGTCCAGGGAGCTGTGCTGAGTTTTCCTGGGGATGACATGCAAAGACATGGCTTAGTGAGTGTGGGGCATCGACTCAGTGTAGCTTGGCTCCTCAAAGCAAGGCACACCAAAGTCCGAGACACTGTCCCCATGAGTGGTCCTCCCTTTGACATCAGCTCCAGCTCAGCTGGCGGCCTCCTGGGCAGACCAGCCTCCTCTCTGGGACCAGACTGAAAGAAAACCAAAACCAAGACTGATAGAGAGGCAGACCATGTGACCGCACCTCCGCTGCCTGACCTGATGGTGACTCCTGACTTCGTCTGTACTCTGGCCACCAGGGTCACCACCGGCAGAGGGGCTCGTCCTGGGGGGACAGGGGCTCGTCCTGGGGGGACAGGTAGACAGGTGGGCTCCAGGTGTAAAGAACCAAAAGTGTGGTAGGGGTGGCTGTGAGGGGAAATGGAAGGGATTTGGGACGACAGTTGGAAATGTCTGGGTCCTTGAGGGCAGAAGCCACATGGTACTTCCCTCCAGCAGAGAACCTGCAGCTTTTCCACCAAGACAAAATCACCGCAGACATTTTCTTCTGTGGGGAGGGACAGGCTGCCCTGGAGTTGATCTATACATTTACTTCTTTATGAACAGCCGTATAGAACTCAGAATCCTTAAAATGGCTGGCAGGCAGGCTGCCACAGGGAAGCTCAGGGGAGAGGGAGGCATCAGAGGGCTAGCTGCCCTCCGAACAACCATTAGCAAGCTCTGTCCTAGTGGAACTGCCAGCTGAGTCCTGTGGAAGCACCAGAGGTGTAATGAATTCTGTGAAATTCAAACTGTGTAATCTGCTTAATGACTGAAAACAAATTTGCCAAACTTATTTGGAATTTGTTAGACTATTTATTTGAATACACAGGACTTCTTATCCATGCACCTGCTGGTATTTGAATTAAGAATGTGAGCTTTTAAGTGCTTACAGGTGGATATTTGAATATTCAAGAGCAAAGCAGTGTAAAGAAGGTATCTCTCACAGAGACCAGGTCAATGAGCAGGGCTAGTCCATTGAGCGCTTGGCACCAGTCCCGCCAGGCCATGCCCCACCGCTACAGGGATGAAACTCCATCACGATGTTCTCACATTCCTGGGACCACCTGTGGCCAGGGCTGGGAGTCCAGGCTGGAACAGGGGCACCCATGGGCTGGCTGCAACCTCATCAAGGGTCACTTCTCCTTCAGGCACAAAGCCCTCCTGTTAACCTGCAGTTGTACTAAGACCCCGAAAGCCTCACCCTGGGGACTGTCTCCCACAATATCATTCAAGGTCTGGGGGCTAACACCAAATCACAGCTTTACAGTGTATCCTAGGGGCAGCCACTTGCCCTCTCCCCTTCCCTGCCCCAGCCACTCCTTGTGGACCCCTCCCCAGAAGCCTCTACACTCCTAACCTCACAGCTCCTGCCCCGTCTCTGCCAGAGGCCACCCATTCTCTGCAGCCTCCTTGATGCAGGTGATGCACTTGCCCAGCCTGTGGACTCCATGCTCCCCTCAACCATGAGCTCACCACCATGGCCTCTACTCCTGCCCACCTAGTCTCTCTCTAACCCTTCTCCAGGGCCCTGTGGCAGCCATCCAACAACCCTGATGTGCTCAAGCCATGCCTCCCACTCTGACTTGCCTGGGCTCACCACTCTGACACCGCTCCTCTTCTGGATAGGTTCCTGGGGCCTCGCCACCCCATGGTCATCTCTTCTAAGGTTCTCTGCCAGCTGTCTCAGCCTCCCTCCAGCTACTGCCCTTATAAGTCTATAGTCCAGATTCCTCACTGTGCCTCCTGGTCCCTGAGCCCACCAAACCGCACCCCAGCTTCATTACTGCTGCCCTCAACTCAACTCTGTGGACACCACCACAGCCAATTACCAACTGCTACTCTCACTCAGCCAGCTTCCACCTGCCACCCAGCCTAGACAATGGATCTTTCCCATGACAAACCTGTGACTACTATCAGTGGAGAGACCACAGGTCAGACTGGTGCTATCAAAAGTGGGGTCTCCAAGTGCACTGCCCCAGCACGTCTAACGAACACCCCCTCTCAGGTGGCTCTGGGCTCAGGACTCTGTTACGACTTTGCATGGACCCCCATGGCCTTCCTTCCTGTGTGACTGTCACTGGTTGAGCTGTATAAATACCACAGCAGGTCATGGCATGAGCACAGCCTGGTGTTCCAGCAATGAGCAGCCACAGAGAGCCAAGGGGAGCAGAAAAGGGTCTGGGGACAAAATGCCTTTAGGTTGCATTGAGATGACTGATATGTCATCTAGGGGAATAAGTGAGGTCACCTCAATGGGATTTGGTGTTTTAGTACTTTGGAGCGTGAGGACAGCTACATTTTCACCTCCATGAAATTAATGGTAGTCACATTTTGATTTATAAAAACTACCCATGGGATTCTCCCAAAATGAAATCACTCGGAAGAGCAGTAGAAACTTACAAGTAAAGCAAACATCTATGAAGCACCTTGGTCAGTGTTTAAAGCCACAAGCTCGCCACACCCTTCCAAACCTGGCCTATGTCCACAGCCAGGGCTCTGGAACCCTGCTGGCAGAGCATTCCCCCTGCACATGGCATCGCCACCGACAAGGTCAGGACTTTTGACTTCCAGCATAAGCAGGCTCTTTGAGGGTCTCTGTCATTGTGCAGGCTCTGGCAGAGGCTCTTACATAAAAATAGTAAACAGCTGAAACTGGTTTGGCTCAGTGGATAAAGTGTCGGCCTATGGACTGAGAGGTCCCGGGTTTGATTCAGGTCAAGGGCATGTACCTTGGTTGCAGGCACATCCCCAGTAGGGGGTGTGCAGGAGGCAGCTGACCGATATTTCTCTCTCATCGATGTTTCTGCCTCTCTATCCCTCTCCCTTCTTCTCTGTAAAAAATCAATAAAATATATTTTAAAAATAAATAAATAAATAAATAAATACGCTGCAGGGGTTTACTGACTCCCTAAGAATCAATAACACCTGGGGAAGAGATATAGAGGTGCCTAATTGAGACCAGAGTTCCAATTGAAGTAGATCCTTTTGTGGCCTGAGAAGACCAGGAAAGCCGAGAATGATGGGCAGGCCCCAGCCCTGGAGCATCACTCATGTCATTTTAAGAGAGGGCCAAGCCCCTCTGGGCGACTGCAGTGTGTCTTAACCACCAGAACTTATCCTTCACAGGATGTTTGCTACTTGTCTTGGACGTGTCTTATTCCACACCCTCCCACTGCCTTCCAGGAGCGGAACTGGTGTCACTCAAATCTATCACGGATTGTGTGCTTAGGGCCCTGCCCACACCCCACTTACCCATACCAGTAGCGAGGGTCACTGGAGATACAGTGGTTCAGGCTCCGGTGGGCCAGCGCCTTCTTTTTATTGAGGACAAACTCTTGCAACTTCATCTTCACTTCTGTGCTGGCCACAGCACCTGGCATGGGAGAAAGCACAAGGCAGTGACTGGAGGCTCTGCCCTGAAATGGGAAGGGGATGGAGACATTGGGATTATAATTCAGGAGGCAGCTAACACCGTGGAAGTTTCTTGAAGGAAGGAGAAGGCAGAAGGTTTAATAAGAGGTCCTCTTCCACCAAGGGTTTTACATAATTGCATTTTATCAAAAGTGCAGAAGCAATAAGTATGAAGATAGACTATCCCTTCATACAAATCCACTTCTGAAGGAAGCTTTACTATCTATATACAGTTTATAAAAGCCAAGTGACTGGATTGCCAGAATGACTGGAACGACCAGTTGTTTTGATGCACCCCGCAGCCCTGTTTGGCACCCCCCACCCCAATTGGAGGGCTGTGCCAGCCAACTGCCTGCAGCCCCCCCACGCAGCTGAACCAGCCCCAATCTGCCCAAATCAGGACAGGCCGGTTGGACTCCACCTGTGCATGAATTCATGTACTAGGCCTCTAGCATATATATATATATATATATATATATATATATATATATATATATATACATACACACATACATACATATACACACACACACACACACACACACACACCAGTGACCATAATGGCCATAACAACCATAATGAATAGTGGCTATGACGCCCACTGTGCCCAGCAAACCTGGCCCGATCAGGGGATGGGGCAGACTGGCCAACCTTGCAGCTCCTCCCCCATAAAGGCCTGCCCCTGATGGGACTCTCCCACCCCGATCAAGAGCAGGGCGGCTGGCCAAACGCCCCCTCTTCTCCCGCCCCCCCCCCCCCCCCCACACACACACATATGCAAACGCCTCTCCTGATCAGCCAGCTCCACCACAACAGGCACATAGCCCACCCCTACCCTCCCCCTCAACTGGCCTGCCCCTGATCACACCCCCCACCTCAATAGGGGGCATGGCTTGGCGGCCAACCTCCTGCTGCCCCTCCCCTGGTTGGCCATGCCCCAGTGGGTCTCCATCACCCCAATCAGCCTGCAGCCTCTTCCCATGGCCAGCCCTGCCCCTGATCACCACCCATCCCATGGCCCCCCCCGGCCCCTGATCAGTACCCCCACCCCATTCGGGGGCAGGGCTGGCCAGCCCACTGTCCACAGTTCTCCATGGCCAGCCCTGCCCTCAATCAGCCCCCAAACCCCAATCGGGGGCAGGGACCACCGTCCAATCGGCTGCAGTGCACTGACCATCAAGGGTGAAGATGCTCAATGCACAGGCATGGAAACATGGAACAGACTGATGAACCTCAGAAGGAAGCGGGGAAGGCGATAAGAGATTAACTAAAGTTCTTATATGCATACTAGAGGCCTGGGGCACCAGTGAGGTCCCTCGGCCTGGCCTGCAGGGACCAGGCTGAAATCAACAGTTGGACATCCTCTGAGGGGTCCTGGATTGTGAGAGAGTGCAGGCCAGGCCAAGGGACCACACCAGTGCATGAATCCATGCACCAGACCTCTAGTTCTTACATAAAAGAACATTCCGGCCTTGGCTGGGTGGCTCAGCTGACTGGAGTGTTGTCCTGTACAGTAAAGGGTAGCAAGTTCGATTCCTGGTCAGGGCACATACCCAGATTGTAGGTTGAATCTTTCCCAGTCAGAGTGTATGCAAGAAGCAACCAACTGATGTTTCTCTCTCACATGGATGTTCCCCTCTCCCCTCTCATAAATAAATAAATAAATAGGTAGGTAGATAGATAGATAAATGAATATAAATAAATAAATAAATAAATAAATAAATAAGTTCTGGACTGAGCACTGGCAGCAGAGTGGTTTCTTTCTCACTACAGCACTAGAGGCAGAATCTCAGAGAATCTTTGTACACACTGACACGTCCCTCCCATGGCAACGGCAGCAGAGATGAGGCCTGCATCCTGGGCAGGCTGCCACACTCCTGAACCCATAAGGCAACAAGTTCCTTTGCAATCATATTGACATTATACACTGAGTGGCCAGATTATTATGATCTCTAAATGCATAATAATCTGGCCACTCAGTGTATATCCTATATATCGATAATAAAAGGCTAATATGCAAATTGTCACCTCGACTAGGAGTTCAACCAGCAGGCCAACCCTGCCAACCACCCATGTCTCCTCCCCCTGGCCAGACTGGCTGGATCCCACATGCATAAATTCATATTCATGCACTGGGCGACACCCCCCCCCCCCCCCCCCACACACACACTCACACTGAGTGGCCAGATTATTATGCGTTCAGAGACCATAATAATCTGGCCACTCAGTATATATAACACATAATATTGAATGCACATTTCTGTTTCTTCCAGCCTCGCAGCTACTGAAGCAGAAAATACTTCAACTGGACTAAAGTCAAAGACATGAGCTTCATGGTTTGTTGGGCTGCTGGTTGGCCATAGCCTCTCCCCCCCTTGAGCATGTCAAGGGGCAATGGTGTCTGCAGCTGCTCTGGAGGCCCCTCAACCCTGCAGATGCCCCTCCTCCTGTGAGGATTCTTCCGGCAGCTCAGGGGACAAGAGCCTCTTAGTGTCCCCTGTTGGGGTGTCTTGAAAGTAGCACAAACAAGCTAATCTCAGAAAGAGACACAGAAATTAAGGTCCAAACTCACACTCCCACACTCACCCTGTGAACATCTACCCTGTTTCCTCAGAGCTGTCACTGATTACTCAGAATCTGTGTCCATCCCCCAAAAATGATGGGCCTAAGTATGTCCCATCATTGTACAGACTCTAACAGCATTTTCATAGTGGGAAAACATTCCCATTGTGAGTGAAACAGGGATTACAAAGTCAAGTCCTGACTGGGGGGCATCCTTAGATTATCCTTTAGTTGTGGTTAGAAACTATGCTGCAAAGAAGATGTATGAGTCAATAACACTGTCCATGTGAATAGTGCTTAAGAGAGACCATCAAAATGTTGACATCTAACAAGTTTAATATTATAGTCCTTGGAGCATCTTCCAAATGCCTTTAAACACTTACCACCTTGTGACTTTCTATTGGCCATACAACAGGGGCAGGTCCCCTACATCTTTATCAATAGGTGAGATTACCCTTTCTCTTTCAGTACTTGGCATGTTTTAGTGCCACTGGCACTACAGGAAAGTGATCAGGGTGAAGACAATCTCGATGGTCAGACAAAGGACATAACCCTCAGGTTCTTCCATACCTACTGTCGCAGAAGGAGTAATGGAAAGCAAGACAAGAAACAGAGTTCTCACTGAGCAGGATAAGAACACATCCCAAAAAATTTCCAACAAATGAGAATTCCTGTTAGCTGGCCTAACCTCAAAAAAAAAAATACCTATTCACATGGATCCACTTTCTCTTTATGGGAGGGATGGTGTGTCTCACCTGTAAGTGCTCTAGGAATAGAGAGAACCTCACACATCTCTCATTTAGGAAGTCACTGCCTCTCCCTGCTTTGGCCATACCTTCAAGCTTGCATCATGGGCTCCTGAACTCTGAGAAAGGCAAAGAACAAATGCCCAGTCCCAGCAGGAAGGGCACACAATAAATACCAGTAACAACCAAGGGCAGGAATCTGTGGCCAGGGCACATGCACTGCTCAGTCGAGACAAGGCCCATTTGTGCTAAGCTCCCACCAAGCTGGGACACGAAGAAGCCCTTGTCCCCTGAGCTGCTGAAAGGATCCTCTTAGGAGGAGAGGTGTCTGCAGGGCTGAGGGGCCACGGGCAGCTGCAGGCACCATGGCTCCTTGACCTGCTCAGGGGTGGGAGAGGGCACCTTACCAGGCTCTCATGAAATCAAAGGAAAACAAACCCAAGCCCCCAAATAAGACTTCCTCATCTTTAAAATGATCCTCACCCAGCTAAATGAGCTAAATAAATGACGCAGTGCCGCATTGACCTGTCAGACCAAGTCTACTTTAGAGAAGTGGCCAATGATGATGTGGTCACAGGAGTGACCCCAACTGGTCTCCTCCAGCCACCTTTAACTGAGGGCTGAGTTACAGTCCCTCCTCACAGGGGCCAGTGGGCATGACCCAAATGCTATCCTCTCAGCTCCCACAGGCCTGACTGCAGCAAATAAGTAATGCCAAGGCACAGACCTGCGACAGACCTGCGACTCTGAGAGCAAAGGAAATCCTCTTTTCTTCTTTGTACTTCATGAGGATAGAATTCAAAAAGGAAGCTGCTGGTTTTGATCCTCACACTTCTGGTTATGTACTCATCTCTCAAAGGATTTTTCCACTCTAAATCGAAGTTCTGGAATCAGTAACGCCTCTTCAATAAACAAAAACCAAACGTCTCAAAATTTCTACTTTTTAAAATAATTCATGTCCATTATCATTCATTTGAAAGGATTTATAAAGACCTTACTATGTGCTAGTACTGATCCAACTAACATAAGAGAGACAAAGTCTCATACAACAGGGTGTGTGGGGGGTGGGGGGGAAGGAAAGACTGTCTAAAGAAAAGGCAGGTAAATAAAAAGATAAACAGGAAGAGAGGCATGAAGTACAGTAAAACAGGTGGAACCAAGCAGATAGGTGGGAGGACCTAGACCACTTTGGGGGTGCAGCAGATGGGTGGAGGACCTGACCAGGTGGGGGCCCAGAGAATGAGCTGGTGGACACGATGAATTGAACAAATTTGTTGCTACCTTCAGTTGCCTGTGCTTGAGCCTGACTCTCTTTTTTTATGCTCCACGTTCCTCTGAGGAAGGAAATGGAACAAATGGGTCACTTTCAGGATCAGATGTTCAGTCTTAACTCCAGCCTTCTGAGCCATTTTTACAACAAAGTGAATGACTTTCCTACTGAAGGCCCCTTACTCTCAACAAGGCTATTATAAAGAACAGTGATGAGAGTCGACATGCTCATTCTGACCTGCTCAGAGAACAAAGACTTGCTTTGAAGTTTATATATGTAGTTCAGATTCTTAAAGGTAGTAAATCTAACTAAAACTTAACTGATTAAAGATCATGTATCAATGCAGATACCATAACTTTCACAAATTTTGAGAATTCACTATTCTTTCAAATGAATGGTATTAATGGTATCAGAAATTAAAAGAATACACCTGCAGAATTATTTAAAATTAAAAGTACTGTAAATGTTTACAAATATAATAAAATTTTGAATTAAGTATTTCAAAAGAAATTCATTTAAAAAACCAAGAAACTGGACAGCAGCTGTGTCCTGCATTTCCAAGTGTATAACCAAGAGCCTGTGACGACACAAGGCCCCTCCACAGGCAGGGAGGGCCACAGCACTGGACCGCTCTCAAGGTGGCAGAGCCAATCCCAGTGTGCCAAATCCTCACACCGTACACAGTTTACTACTACTAATAAAATCTGACCACCTAAATCCACACATTGGAAACCACCGGCGCTACGCCGTGACAGCTTGGAGGAAAGCAGAGAACACTCCGGCACTCTGGCTGGGCAGAGTGGGGTTGCTCCACAAGAGCGGCAGAGATCTAAGATGTTTTCTGAGGTCAAGGGTTTTCATATTTTGTGAGTTTAGGATGTTGTTTGTTTGTATTGGAAGATTCTGGTAAATACAAGGACTAATTTAGATGAGCTGCTTTTACTGGTAAGCAATCTGAAAAATTGGTATTTTGTTGGTTATTTGTGGCACAGACCAACTAGCTGATACAAGTTAAATGTCTATCCTTGGATAAGCAGCAATGACTTTCCCCTCTTAAATAAAAATGCATAGGATCACTGAGCTCCAAGCAGAGAATGGGAGAATGGGGACAGAGGACTTCCTGGGAAGACCACATGTAACAGCAGCCTTGCACACACTCCTGTGGCTTTGGGTTGCATGCAAGCCTCCTGCTCACAACAGAAGCCCCTCACAGGGCTCCCTATAAGGCCCGGTGCTGTTGTCTATGGTGGTGGCTCTCTGAAGTGGAAGGCAGCACCTAAATACAAGGCCAGGCCACATGTGGCAGGCCACGGAGCCTCTAGGTTATGCAGATCCCTGACACAGCATGAGAGGAATCACCTCGACTGCAACTTCTCATCCTGGCCACACAGTAGGCTCACCCGGGAGTTTTAAAAATGACAATTCATCTGTCCACACTCCATTCCACATAAACATGGCAGGACACTTGGCTCTATGTGCTGCACCTCTCATGCATCTCTCACGGTTTCAGTGCCCTGGCTGTACCCTCAGCCAGGAAGTTCCCTCAGCTCAAAGAAGTTAGCACACATAAGCAGGCAGTGGTATAGAAGAAGAGTGTTATCTGAGCCAGCGGGCCAGGCAGTGAGAGCAACTAGGGTGGCTGACACCATGTGCCCAATCTGCCCCTTGCAGGGGTCCAATCTATACTCCAATACCAAGGCTGCTAACAGCAAACCAGAGTCTACAGTGTAGCTCCTACTGGCAGCCTTCTGCCCTCACTGCTGGATCTCGACTGGGCCACCACTGAGCCTCAGTCATCACCACATCTCACTGTTGTGCTACATACAGATCACTGTGCTATTCAGTTACTTTCAAATATCGGCACAAAGGTTAGATCTCACAGGGAGAATAAACTCCTGATGTGTTTTTCACACTGAAGCTCTATCAGAGTTGAAGAAAATATTTATTATTTTAAGAGTAAACTGCTGGCCCGGGCCAGTGTGGCTCAGTGGTTAAGCATGGACCTATGAACCAGGAGGTCACGGTTCGATTCTTGGTCAGGGCACATGTCCAAGTTTTGGGCTCTAGTAGGAGGCATGCAGGAGGCAGCTGATGGATGATTCCCTCTCATCACTGATGTTTCTCTCTCTCCCTTCCTCTCTGAAATCAATAAAAACATACTTTAAAAATTAAAAAAAAGTAAATTGTTGTAATGACAAATGATTGTAAAAGGTGTTAATTTTATGTATAAAAACAATTACTATGAACTTACAAATAGAGAAATAAGCTAAAAATAGAGAGAATACACTAGCTAAATACTTTTAGGACAAAAATATGCCCTTTTTAAAGAGAAAATATTTACAAAATGGTAGAAAACAATATAGGCAAAATATTAATAGTACAGTTTTTATTATAATATAATCTAATTCTAATTTAAGAAAGATAGAGGACTGAACTTATGTTAGGAGAGTGACATAAAAAGAACAACTCCACATCCAGAGAAAGGAAGACAGAGCATTGGACAATGGGGCACACTTCAACAATGGGGAATAGCAAAAAGTGCCCCATCTCACTGATAATCAGAGAAACATGCTGGAGCCATGAGAAGCTGCTACACTCAGCAGACAAGGCGGTGACTGATGACAGTACCAGTGTTGATGGGGACACAGAGCAATAGCAACTATCCCACATCTGGTGGCAACAAAAACTGGTAGAGTCTTGGACAGGAAAGTTAAAGACACACTGGCCCTAAGGTTCAGTGATACATCACAGGGATTCATTTGCACCCAGAGACATGTCCAAGGACATGCACGGCAGCTTTACTGTGACAGCCCTGATCAGAAAACAGCCCGAATATCTGCAGGGCATTGGACACACATGGCAGTGCATCCATGATGGCTGACCCGCAGTCAAAGCGCATGAACACTAGTGAGGATGGCTTCGCAAGCACAGTGCCAAGCGAAGAAAGGAAACGCAGGAGCCCCAGATAGTGATCCCACTCACTTTGGAAGCAGGAAAAATGACTCTGGGGTGTTAGATGTCAGGGAGCATCTTTGGGGAGGAGAATGGAGTTGTGACTGTTCTGGCCCCAGGTGTGTACTATGAGATGGTAACACAGGATGGTCCTTGAGGACAGTTTCTCCCAAGAGTTCCCTATAAACCGAAGATTGGGGGCATTTCTGTATGTCTATCATATGCCAATAACAATTGCCTTTAAAACAATTTCAAATAATAGATTTACAAGAAGACTTTAAGAATATGAAATGCTGCTGTGGAACTGGATATTCCACTTAAACAGAAGCTTGTTAAAATGACTGTGCAGATGGTTATTATTTTCAGAAGTTGAAGCTGAAGGACTTCTGAGAATTTAGAGGTTTTACTTCTTGGTGAGGCATGTAAAGTTTTCTACTTTTACTCGTGAATACTGTACGGGCAACTTACCCAACTATCAATGCATAAGCCCTGACAGGGACAGATGTGTACCCTGACTTATTTCAGTATGACCAGGGATAAATAAGTTCAGCTGTGCACTGGTGTTGGGGTGGAAGCCGACAGGCAAGAACTGTGGACATGACTGCTGAGGAGGCCCTGATGTGTCATGGCAACAAGTTGTCAAAAGAAAGCAGCACGATACCCATGGGGGCAGTGTTCCTTTTGTCATAGTCTAGGTGAGATGCTGCAACTGTTGACACGCCAGGCCTTACTCAAGCTAGTCACCTTACGTCCATGTCAAGGTGCAAGCCCAAGGCAATCTCTGTCCAGTGGCTGCGAAGTCAGCAGAGGGGGCTGTGGCCTCTTCCCTGAGAGACTCAGGAAATTTTCCAAAATTTTCCAAATTTTCCAGGCTCAGATCACGTCTGGGCCTTTCTAAGGATAACAGACCACACTGGTATCAGACATATGGGCACAGCCACAATAAAAAGCAGAATTGGGGTTGGTCACGATGTCTCCTCTCAACTACAGGTGTCCCACAAGCAAACATTGTGTTCAAGGCATCTACAAAATGCTCCAAAAGAAAAGAACTTTCAAATGTTTAGGATTAAGCTTACAGGTAAAACGCAGTACCCATTTGGTTTTTAATACTGTCCAACCTATTAAGAGTTTGCCAAATATACTTTAACATGCTTATGTCAACCCAAAGGTTGTGCTGACTGCTCCTGCAGCCCCCAAACAAGATAAAGTCACTGTCAAGGCTGAAGCTAAGAGCAACTGAAATAGCCACTTGAAGTGACCCTGCAGTGACACCTCATGCGAAGACCAGGGAGCAAGTGGAGCACAAAGAACCTTGACTTGAGGAAGGCCCTGGAGTGGCCTAGACGTGGCACTCACTCTCTTTGCCTTTCTCCTTGTTCTTGAGCTGCTGCAGCTTCTGCTCGCGGTGCTGCTTCTCCAGCGCCTGCTCCTGGCGGTGCCTCTCCAGCTTCCGCTGATGCTCTAGAAGTTCTTGCTGGTGCTTCAGGGCCAGCAGTTCCTGCTGGTGCTGCAGGAGGGAAGGAGATGGGTCAGAGCCTGGGGCTGAGACAAGAACCAACACACACACACACACACGCACACACACACGACAGAATCAGCGAAGGACCAGCTTGCCCCTGTATAGGTGCTGCCGCTGGAGCTGGTCCTGTCCCACAGCTTGTGCTTCCTATGATTCTACCCCAACTCTGTACAGTGCCCTCGCAACCGGGCTGCTCGGGGCCCAGATGTCTCCTAACCTGTTAAGTGTTAAAAATAAAAATAAAAATGACTGAATCCTAGAAGAAAATACACAGAAAGATTTATTTATGTCATCTTGCAAGCTGGGAATGCCTTTTTGAGAATGATACAAAAGATTGTGAAATAAGCATTCACCCTAAGGCACAGCTATCTTACTCCTGGGACTCACCCAAGAGATACAGGGCAAATCCACCCAAAGCCCTCTAGGGAATGTGTATGGCAGTCCTGCAGGACAGCCCAGCTTGCCACACCCCGATATACTTCTGAATTGAACACAAACTGGACGTTCACATGCTAGAATACTACCTAGTGATAAAAAGGGATGAGCTAGAGACAGAGGAAAAACCACCTTCTGCAGAACACGCAGTGAACATGCTCACTGCTGACAGTGGGGACAGGGACAGAGTCAGCAGATTAAGTTTCTACTTCTGTGATGTTCGAGAACAGGAATTCCTAAGACCTGGTGACAAAAATCAGAGGCAGGACCATGGATACCGAGGGTCACTTCTAAGAGCTTTCTTAAGGAAAAAATATATTGCAGTCAACTTACATGAACTGGGGCAGTGCACATTAACAGGCACATTCCTTGCCCTTCCTGCCACCTGACAACACTCTTGGTGGCAAATGGCAAGGGGTCAAAGGAAATTGCTGAGCCCAGCCTGCCAGGCATGAACCTAGCTCTGCATCTTCAACCTCCCACCGCCTCCACTCAAGTACTAAACTCCTCCCTGTGAGGACTACAGGAGGTAACCTCTGGGAAACACTTAGAATAGCATGGCACAAGCTTTCTGTCTGTATTCTGTCTCCCTCTGAAAGACCTTGACTCCTTCTGAAGGTTCAATGTCATCCTAAGATCAAAACGAGGCCCCAGTGGTCTTCCAGAGAAACATAAAACACAGAACAGAGCATAGGGATGAATTCCAAGAGTTTTAAACCACAAAACCGGCTTCCTAGTTCTGCAGTGTTGGTCGCCAACAGTCAGCACAACGTGGGATAATGTCCAGCTCCAGAGAACTGTATACCAGCTAAAACTGTATAAACAATTCAAACTAGTGGAGCTTTCTTACTGTCACCCTTGTGACAAAACAATAAATGAAGTGGGGGTGAAACATGCCCCTTGTTTTTAGTTTCGATCCCAGATACCATGCTCGGAGCTGCACTGTGGGGGCTGACATTGTACTCACTAAGGTCAGGCGCACATGAGGAAGGACTCCACCTGGATACCTATTTGTTGGTCTGAATAGATACAGAGGACCTGCCCAAGAGCCACACGCTGTGTCTGTGGTAGAGACACACCCCATTCCTGGGTCACTGGTGGTGTCAACAGCCCTGCCCTCCTGAATTGGCAATCTCAAGAAACGCGCACCCTGGCGGGCTGCCTGCTGCTGCTCAGGTCAGGACAGTATTACAGTGATATCCCGACAACAGCTTTTATAATGAATTGTCCCTCCCCACTGGTATTACCTATACCCCAAGGGCCCTAAGTACAGCCTGGGTTCCCTTTCAGCAGCTCAGTATTCATTTAATTTCTAAATGAGGAACAGGCAGAAATTCGCTTAATAGTCTCTCTCAACATTTATTTTTGAGCCAGAACCCAGAAGGAAAGAGATCTTTCAATTATCTTTACAAAAAGACTAGAAACAACCACCACAGATACTGGTGATTAAAATTCACAGGATTACAGAACTCCCAGAAAAACAATATTGTCATGGAGTTTTAATGAAAGCAGCAAGTACAAACAACGACCCAGATTTCCCAGCACGTCCCAGAGCTACACTGTATGATCTCATTCCACCTCCCGTTTGGATGGACATTACCCAATATTAGATTTATATTAAAGCCCCATAAACAAAAGTGGTGGGAACAAATCAGAACCTGGCTGCCCTCCCTCACAATGTCACTTCACATCTGTGGCCTATCTCTTGATCTTGGGACAAAGAGGTCCTCTAGACTCACAGATTTAGGGGAAGTAAGGGTGAACTACAACATAAGGATCATCTGCATTATTGTTCCCACTCACACATCACTCTGTGAAATAGTAAATATGAACTCCCTGTCAGTACCCAGAAAGACTCCTCAGCTGCCCCTCCATGGGGAATGAATGAATGTATCATGAAGTGTAGTCTTCAGAATACAAAAGAGGTCTCTGAGATGTGCTAATTTTCATGTTAGGTAAAATCCATAGAGTTATTTGCATCTAGTATCTCGCTAACATGTGTGATGGTCAAAAATATTCTATAGAGAAAGAATTGTTGATAAGCTATTTTTTGCAGATTGAAACCATTATAAGCAATTTTAAAAAGATGTTGACAACTTAATTTTTCCAAGAAAAAGAACCCTCAATAACAATAATCACTTTAATGATAGTTTAACACTGAATTTACATTTAAGCCAATACCGAGCTCAGAATCAAAGTATAGGTTCCTGGAATTCAGCTTCTTTGACTCTGACTCTAGAATTGAATAAACGAATGTTCAGGTGGAAACACAGCCAAACGTCTACTCTCAAAAGTGAACTAAAACCCTGTGAGATGGAAGGACAGGTACCCATCACAGCCCTAGCCAAGGACAGAGACCTTCCAGTCTCCAGAGAACTGTCACCTGACCCTCTCAGAATGCCTCTGATTAATCCTATGGCACAATAACCAACTGGTCAGCAGAAATGGTAGCAGTCAGGTTCCATTAAAGCACGTTACCACCACCACAGGGATGCTTACAACGCTGCTCAAAAACCAACCTCCCTGAGCCTGCACTCTGCAAAATAACTAATGCTGATGTATGGCCATTCAGAAGTCAAGTTCCTGGAGCCAGAGGTGCCCCATACAATGGCAGGAGTCTATTTCAGCAAGGGGGAATCCCATGGGCCATGTGTGCACTCTGGGGGCAGGGGGGAGGAAGAGGGCGTGAAAGCCACAGCCTGCTCAGGAGCCCAAGGATGTCTAATGGTCAAACATGCAAGTTCCCCCCAGGGACCAAGGGCTCCTTTTTGAGTCAAGGGTGTCTTCCTGATTTGAAATATACTACAGACTCATGGTAGCAAATGTGAAAATGAGATCAATATGAAAGATCACCCACTCCCCTTGTCTCAGGAAATAGGAAGCTGATGTACTATGATTCCTGCAGTCCTCTCACAACTAAATCCTGGCTCCAAATAAAAACCAAGCAGCCAGCAATGAGGAGTATCTTCCAGTCTCCCGTGTGTTATCATGCAGATGAGCTGGAGTCAGCCAGGGCCAGAATTTCCAGGTGCTCATGTGACCCATGTTAAGCTGAGCACAGACAGGCAGTGGTCCTCTCACACAGATGTTTCCCACGGTGGAGGGGTGCAGTGAGAAACTGCATCCTGCCTCTCCATAGCACCCCTGTCCTCACGAGGGCTTGCCACCCAAGGCCTATCACAACCTATGCAGAGCCCTGCCATCAGCAGATGGATGCTAGGAGCTGTCTTTGCCATCTCCTTCACTGCATTTCTCTTGAAAAGGTTAAATTGAAAATAAAGCACAGATTCAGTGCCTCTTCCCTGAAGAATGCACAGCATTTCAGGAGCCTGGCACAGTCAGTGCAAAATTGAGTATGTGCATAAAGGCCAGGACTGTGAGATGGGGAATTGCCTGGGAGCTCTGTGCCTCAGCACAGCCGCCGGTTAGGTGGCCAAACTCACACACAGATGCAGAGGCCTCTCAGGCAGCCACCCCTACCCTGACACCTCCCTCATTCTAAGAACACAACTCGGATTGAGGGAGATTTCTCTCAGGTGGGCTGGCTGTTCACATCTAGAAACATGTGCTGTTTGGTCATGGTTTCTATAGCCCATTTGGGACTAAAATGCTATTTGTTGAGGTATCCTCAAAAACAGAAGCCTTTCCATATTCCTCTCGCTGGATGTGTTGGCTCATACTCCGAGGCACCCATTTCAGTACTTCCAAAATCATCTTCCCTCTTCCCCACCAGGGTCAAATCCCCCAGGTGGCAGTCACATTCCCACCCCAAACAGGCCACTCAAATGTTACAAAGACAAAAGCAGTTGGCCTCAGCATGCTGGTCTATGAGAGGAAGGTCTGCAACAGACACCCAGGGCACTGTGGGCCACTCCTGTAAGGCTGCGGGTACAGCATCACTGTGAGGACGGTGGAGCAATGGAGTAATGAGGAGGGGGGACAATACGGGGGAGAAAGTGGAGCCAGGAGGGGGAGGGGTATGAGGAAGAAGGCCAACTGCCAGCCCGGCTGCCTGTGCTTCCTCTGCCTTTGTCTCCAGTACCCAGGGTAACCCTACTTTCTCCTTCAAGGCCAGCACAATCACTCACCTCCCCTTACCCCCCCAGGAATCCTAGTTTCTTCGCTCAGGCCTCACCGCCACCTGGCACACTTGCACTGGGGCCTCAGACTGCCTGTGATTGGGCTGGGGCTGAGCCCCTTGTCTTCTGCAGACCTCAGCTGGGCCTACAGCAGGTGTGAATGAAGCCCAGAAATAGAGGACCAGCGCAAAGGCAGTAGATCCAGTAAGGAGGGATGAAGGAGCAGGACAGGCAGGATACAAACTCCCACAGCTGCTGCTTTGCAGACAGAGTTACTTTTCTCCTACAACCATAGGCAGCCTGCAATTGGAAGGCACAATTAACTGATAAAGCCGATACTCTTAGATGCAGCCAAGGAAAAGCAGAGCCCAGTGTGATAGCCAGAGTGGCCATCAGTGACCTTTAGGGCAGCAGGTGGGTGGAGCAAGGCCATCCACCTGCCCATGAATGAGTTCCTGGAAACCACTTGCTGGT